TTCTCCAGATTTCTTGGCACAACTTGGTGAGCATGTCCAGGGCAGCATCTGTTAGCTGAAATATGTCAATTGGTATACCATCTATTCCTGGAACCTTATTTTTTGCCATTTCATAGTCAGTTATAAGTCGAACGTAGGCCTTCTTCTCACCATCAGGCTTCATCAAGGTGTTGATCTTGTCTACATTGATGTCATAAAGCTACTTTACAGCTTGTTTTATTCGGTGCTTGTTGGCCTTGACATCCACAATGAACACAGTGTGTTGTTATCTTCTATCTTCTTCATGGCTGACTCAGTGGTTGGGGGAAACTTGATGATGGCATAGTGGTCAAGCTTGTTTCTCCTCGGGGCACTCTTCTGGGGGTATTTGGGCTGCCATCGGAGTCTCAGCATCTCAGGCCACTGGAAGGTGGGTGATGTGCAGGTTGTCTTTCTTTGTGGCTGTGGATTTCCTTCAGGATTGCCGCCTTGGCCTTTTACATCTTTGCTTTGGCTTCAGTTTTAGAAGGGGCAAGGGCTTCCTTCTTCGCCTTTATCACCATCTTTGTAGAAAGGCTTGGTTGTTGTTGTGTTTTGTTGTGTTTTTTTAAAGTAATTTTAATGAAAGTTTACAGCGACTTAAGAGTTTCCAGTCATTCATTGTTGCACTTTTCTCCCTGTCCACCCTCTCTTCCCCAAATCACTCTTCTCCTTGAAAAGAAAAAACTCTTTCATTGTTATGCAATCCTTCCTCCAAAGTTCACTCCATTATGCAGCCTTCACTCTGGGCTTCTGTAATGACAAGAATACCCATTAATATATCCTTTTTAAACAGATCTCTCCCTTATCTGTCTCAATGCAATAGACATGATTCCTCCCCTCCTTTTCTGTCTTCCCTCAACCCTGATGTCAGCCCTGTTTTACAACAGTGGCCCTATGCAATATTTGTCCTTTTGTGACTGAGATATTTCACTCCGCATAAATGTCCTCCAGGTTCATCCATTTTGCATAATATTTAATGAGTTCCTTGTTTTTCAATGCTGCATAGTATTGCATTATGTGAATATACCAGAGCTTCTTTATCCATTCATTTGTTGATGGGCACTTGGGTTGTTTCCAGCTCTTTGTTATTGTGAACAAAGCCGCAATAAACATGGGTGTGCATATATCTGCTTGGGTGGCAGTTATGATTTCTTTAGGGTAAATTCCCAGTAGTGGAATTGCTGGGTCAAATGGTATTTCTATTTGCAACTTTTTGAGAACGTGCCATACCTCCTTCCATAGCAGTTGCACCATTTTACACTCCCACCAACAGTGAATAAGTATTCTAGTTTCTTCACCACCTTGCGAGAATTTGTTGTTTGCTGTTCTGTTAAATTTTGCTATTCTTACTGAGGTGAGATGATATCTCATAATTGTTTTGATTTGCATCTCTCATAGAGCTAGGGATTTTGAACATTTCATGTGTTTGTTTGCTATCCGAATGTCTTCTTTGGTGAAGTGAGAAAAGGTTTGTTTTACCTTCTTTCCCCCCCCACCCCTTATTGTGTACCCATCAAGTCAGATCTGACTGGCACAGGAGGTGTTTCCCCCTCCATCTCCAGTTGTGGATTTGAACTGTGCACCTTTGCTTTACCTTTTGAGAATGGATTGTAGATATGATGCCTCTTTATCCCTAAATACCTCAATGTGTATTTCCTAAAAATCGGGTGTTTTCTTATGTCTCCACAATAAAAACACTAAGAGAGAACTGAATTCTGATCAACCCAATGTGTTCAGAATGGAACTATGCCCCATAGGGTTTTTCATTGACTGGTTAGTGGGCTACTAGTAACCTTTTCCCTAAGGATTCAAGTATGGGATCTCAGTTATTAGTCAAGTGCACTAAACCTTTGTAACACCAGGGACTCCACATATTCACAATACAGCTATCAAAGTCAGGAAATTAACTGAGCCAGGAACCGGTAACACTTTCTATCATTTCTCCAACTGTTCTTATTGGTGGTGGTGGTGGTGGTGGTGGTGGTGGTAAATCCATTTCAAGCTACAATCAAGGATCACAGATTACATTCAATTGTTTTTTTAGTATTTTAAAATCTGGAATAGTTGTTCAATCTTTGTCTTTATGACATTGAAAGTTTTTAACCTTGTGGACCTGCTCTTCTATAAAATGTCCCCAAACAAAACCAAAACAAAACAAAACAAATGTCCCTCAGTTAGGATTTAGACATTTTCTCATGATTAGACACAAGGTAAGTACCTGTGGTGGGAATTTGAAAAGTGACACTGGATCCTCATGTATTCTCAGTGCATTCCCTCAAGAGAAGTCTCTCCCTGGGAATTGGCTCAACAGGCCAGGTATTAGAAATATTGTATTTATTAATAAATTGTTGTTATGTGCCGTTGAGTCACTTGCAACTCATAGTGATCCTGTGTATAACAGCTCTGAACCCTGCTCCATCCTGAGCCAACCTTATTGGCTCTGACACTGAATCAATCTATCTCATCAAGGGTCTTCCTCTCCTACGCTGCTTCTCCATCCTCCCAAGCATGATGTCCCACTCCAAGGACTGGTCCCTCCTTGCAAAATGCCCAATGTATGTCAGACGAAGCTTCAGAATCCTTGCATCCAAGAAGCAGCCTGGTTTCACTCTCTCCAGAACAAACCTGTTTGTTCTCCCAGCAGTCCATTCACTACTCTTCTCCAGCACCATGGCTCAAAGGCATTAATTCTCCTTCTATCATCACTAGACATTGTCCAGCTTTCTGATGCATCGCAAAGTAATTGTGAAAACCATACCCTGGATCAGGTACACCTTGGTCTCCAGGCTGACATTGCTAAAAACAAATTATAAATATAATATATAAAATTATAAATAGCAGAGAACACTAGTCTTTCATTTTCCCCTGTGTTCTTGATAACCTCCCTGTAAATCTCTTTGTAGCTTCTTTGGTTTCTATGATGCAAATGAAACAGTCTTGGAGATGGAGGAACAACTGGTGAGTCTCCTGAGATCATGCTCCCTCTCTGCATGTACTGTCCCACCTCATTCTGGAACCTTCCCTGAACTCTCCACTGACCTCTGCTCTGTGGAAGGGGGCCTGGTACTGAGGTTGTCTCTCATTGTGTCTTTTTCAAAGGTTTATCTCCGAGATTCTTTTGGGCTGAAGACTCTCTTGGCCCGGGGGGCCATAGTGAGATGTCCCATGGCTGGGATCTCTCATACCACCTGGCATTCTAACCGTACCCTTTATGAAGCCTGCATTGAACCATGGCTCTCTTGAAGAAGTCTGCAGGGGTCCCCCAGGAGCACCCCCAGAGCCCAGAGACCCAGCGGCGGCCTTGGAAAGCAGACGTCAGGTTTTGGCGTGCCTGTGACCACCTCATTGCTTCCACACTGCCCCCCACAACCGGGGCTCTCAGAACCCCTGCTCCTCTGAATGACAAATCTGGTCTCCCCCACCTCATATTCCATTTGGGGGGCTTCTCCATGCTCTCCCTTTCTCCTAAGGTTGAGCTTGGGGAGGGGAAAGTAGGTTTTTAACCTGTGGCTGTTCCTACTGCTATTCCTCTCTATCTGGCTGTACAGGAGGGGAACCCAGCCCCCGCCCACCGTGGGGGTTTCCTTCCAGGCCACTCAGGACATTTTTAGCTTGTTCTATGTCCTCTCCATGTCTCCTTTTCCTCCAAATGCCCCAGTTAGCCCTCCCAACCCCCTTAAAGGACTGCCCCTGAACGTGGGGTTCTGAGGCTCCCCTATGGGGACAGTTCCGTTCTTGAAATGTCAGTGTTGGGGAATATCTGTGGCCTGCAAGGCCCATCTCAGGTTTGGGATCCCCCAGTCCCTATGTCCAGTGTTGGGGTATCTCCTGGGAGCTCAGTTTTGAGGCCCCAGCCCCTCTTTTAGCTACCCTTAAGTGGGATATTTCACCTGTATTTATGGGAATAAAGTTCCATTTCCTCAGTGCGGCTTGGCTCATTTCCAGGTGAGGGTGACCTGGCTCCCCAAGGAAGGTGGGATGGAGAGCCTGAGGCCTGGGTGCCCGGATGCTTGGTCTGGGGTGGAGACCCCGTTGGTGTTTCCTTTCTCTCAATGCCCATTCTGTGTGGGTTCCTGATTCTCTGCGGGTTCTTTCCTGCTGAGGACAATTCTCTTCCTGTCCCAGCCCAAGATTGAGGGGTTAAGCTAGGGACTCCCATAGTCTGGGCCTCAGCTCCATAGAGTGGAATGTGCCTGCCACCCCCAGGCTAGACGAGGGGGCTGAGGGTTAGCGTGGGCATTTGTTTCGCCCCTTCTCGACATTTGTAGGCCAGAGTAGGGTGAGGGGCTGCACAATGAGCCTCCTCTTCCCTGAAAGAAGGAATTTTGGCTGAGACAATAGAGCCCTGTCTCTTCTGGTATAGGGGTGGTGGCTGACTCAACCCTGTGCCCCCCTTCAAGCCCTAACAAATGTCATCAAGAGATGGGGGCAATTTTCCCCTTGTGCTTTGGGCTACCCCATTGCCTAACTGCTCCTTTTTAATTTCCTCAGCTGTTCTTGCCTCTTGTCCCATGACCTGACCCCATAGTGTTCCCGCAGCTCTGTCTCCCTCTCTCTATACCCCATCCACCCCCAACTCCTGTTCTCCCCAAATCTGGAGTAGGTTGAAGGTGGGGGTGGGGCAGAGGGTGCTGATAGTCAGTAGTTCCTGAAAATTTGGAGGGGTGTCCAAAAATAGGGGGCATCTGAGGGTTAGAAACTTCTAGGGGGCTCGTTGCTGGGGTTAAGAGGAGTAGGACTTGGACTCCTCTGAGCTGACCAGTCTGAAGCGAAGGAGGAGGCTTGCAGAAGGGGGCAGAGGTGGGAGGTTTCTGTCTGGCCCAGCCCCTCCTCTTTCCTGGCCTGCCCACCAGTGCAGTTGCTGCTGCTGAGGCTGGTCTGCCTAACAGTCTGGGGAGAGAGAAGTCAGGTGGGAATGGGCGAGGGGAGGGCAGGTGGGGAATGTCAGTGGGGAGGGAGTGCTGGTCACTCAAGACAGGACCCTAGGGTGGATGTGAGTTTAGGGATGATGCTGTCAGAGGCAAGAGTGTGTGTGTGTGTCCAGGGTGTACGTGATGCTGTTGTTTGTAGGCATAGTGAAAATATGTAACGTATGGGATATGATGTGTTTGTCAGATTCTGAAGGGATCTAGAGGATGGTGATGGGGGAATGGTGTCTGTCTGGGGGGGTTGAGGAATGAAGGTTAAAGGCAGGTTTGAGGTAGGAAGATCACTAGGGTATCTGTCCCTCAGGTTGTGTAGAGTCTAGGCTTGGCGGGTTGGAAGGATAGTGGAGGGTGTGAGCTTGTATGCATGGTGCTACATAGAGCCCGAGAGCTGTGGGTCCGACCCAAAGGCCAGGTCTTTCTGGTGATTTGAATCCACTAGCAGCTCTGAGGGAGAAAGATGGGCAATCAGCTGTGAGTTGGTTCTGACTTGACAGCAGTGCAAGTGTAAATGGGTGAGGGGAGTGCTGGGTAGATGTACATGTCAGTGTAGACATTCCTGGTGACTAAAACATTTACCAGTGTATAAAAATAAATTTACTGAGTCGCTTAGGAGGGGACCAGCCAACAGTTCTTAGTAGAACTGGACCTAAAGAAATTAGTGGAAGGAAAGGGCTTCCATTAACCTTTTCCTGCCTGTAGCCCACAGTGTGGCCTCCAAGGGAATCATGGGGTCCTTGACTGAGCTGTGCACTCTCTTAAGTGGATTCACATTCCTTCTGCTACTGATGCCAAGTGAGGAAGCCAAGGGTGGATTCCTCAAAGAGAGGTGACAACAGATGGGGCTGGGCTGGGGGTGAGACAGTCATAAGCATTCTGTTATGGGTGGAGGTTGAGAATGGGGTGAGGGGCCCTCCCTGTCAGCTGTAGGAAAGGCACAGTCTCAGGAGTCCTGAGAGAGGTGGACTCCCTAGGGCCTGGTCTATTCAATGCTTCCCCTCCTCTGGCATGGGTACAGTCATGGGGTCTGCTCTAAGCAGACGCTCGTGGTTCCCCTCCGCTACAATGAGTCCTACAGCCAACCGGTGTACAAGCCCTACCTGACCCTGTGCACTGGACGGCGTGTCTGCAGCACCTACAGGTGAGAGATCAGAAACTGGGATTCTGGGATCTCTTAGGACCTAAGAGGTCCAGCCTCAATGTCCTAAGCTAGCTTTATGTTCTAGGACCACATACCGTGTGGCATGGAGAGAGGTGAGGCGGGAGGTGCAGCAGACTCATGCCATCTGCTGCCAGGGCTGGAAGAAGCGGCACCCAGGGGCTCTCACTTGTGAAGGTGAGACTGGGTCTCTCTGGGTCTTGGGAGAGGCCCACCCTGTGGGGCTGGAGTCATAGGACATAGTATGTCACCCTCCTCTCTTCACAGCCATCTGCACCAAACCTTGCCAAAATGGAGGGGTCTGTGTGCGGCCGGACCGGTGCGAGTGTGCCCCTGGTTGGGGGGGAAAGCACTGTCACGTGGGTGTGTCTCCTCACTCCCTCTTATTCCCCCTCCCCTCCACACCCTGCTGCCTGCCCTGTCTCGCCTCTCCAGCATGTTCCTTTTTCCACAATCAGATGTAGACGAATGCAGGACCGGTGTCACCCTTTGCTCACACCACTGCCACAACACGGCAGGCAGTTTCATGTGCAGCTGCCCCCAAGGCCTGGTGCTGAGTCGGGACAGACGCACCTGTGAGGGCTCTCGGGAGGCTCCCACCAGTGCCAGCATTCTCAGTGTGGCAGGTGAGGGAAGGGTGGAGGTGCTACAGGGAGGGCTGCAGGTTTGGCAGTGGAGCACCAGTGGTGGTCCTGCTCGTTGTCTTAGTTCGGGAGGCGGAAAATGATGAGCATGCCCTAAGGCGGGAGATTCGGGAGCTTCAAGGGCGCCTGGAGCAGCTGGAGCAGGTGAGCTGGAGCCCAGGGATGAGCCTACATGTTAAGGACCCCGCTTCCGACATCCTGAACGGACTCTTCTTTGACAGTGGGCTGGCCAGGCTGGGGCCTGGGTTAGAGCAGTGCTGCCCATGCCACCTGAGGAGCTGCGGCCAGAACAGGTGGCCGAACTGTGGAGCCGAGGAGACAGGATCGACTCTCTTAGTGACCAGGTGCTGCTGCTGGAGGAGAAGCTGGGCACTTGTGAGTCTTCTCCCCTACAGGACCCTCCTATCCCTCCTTACTTCCCCCAACTCATCCAGACTGCTCCCCACAGCTCCCTGGATCTCCCCACTTCATCATCCCTCTCTTCCTGGAAGCCTGGCCTGTGCCCAGTGAGTCCAACTAGTTAATGGGTGGATGTCAGTCTTTCTAGTTCCTATTGCCCTTCTCTGGTCTGGAGAGAGCCCCAAATCACCAAAGTTTCTATCTCCTTGTCGTTAACCAGGCTCCTGTGAGGACAATAGCCTGGGCCCTGGACTCAACCGACGCTGATAAGGAGCCTGTGCAGCTGCTCTGCCCTATAATTTATACTGTAACTGGACCCCTAATCTTCTGTGGTTGCCTGGCTGGGAAGCTACAGATAAGGATGTCTGGCTATTCAAGAGCAAAGGAAATTGCTGAAAGCTGGGAAAGACATGGAGGAAAGCAATTTGCATTGGCCTATCGAGTCTTCTGATTGGGGACAGGTCCTAATCACCTAGGCTAGAACTGGTCTTCAACTGCTAACAAACACAGCCTCAAATGGCCCAAATCTCTATCTTTATTCTCAGTTTCTTGCTGTTATCCAGATAATTAATAAAATCCAATCACAAAACCATGTCCCGCCCTCTCCTTTTGCTCCCAGCCCACCTCCCCGATTGTGGAAATGGGTCTGGGGTGGGAGGCAGGGAGTGGCTGATGCCACAGCAAGGAAATGAAAACTGGCCCAGAAAGGAAAAGCCTCAAAAGAAAAGAGAAATAAATTAAAAGCCCTCTAGCCCCTCCAGCTGGGCTTCAGTTCCTTCCCCAACTCCCCAGGGAGAAGTGAGAGCAGCACCTGAAGACTGCCTCTTCCCCTTTGTGTCTGGTCAGATGGGCACAGCAGGGCTGCAAAAGGCTGAGTGGGTTCAGGAAAGGGGAAGAGGGGAAGCAGAGAGAGATGTATGAACTGGCCATGTGTATCCAGGAGTGCTCTTCGACCCTGGGCATCTGGGCATGGGCAGGAATGAGACCTCTGAGTTACAAAGAGTCTAACCCCCACTGAAAGGAGGCTCCATAGGGCAGGAGTGAAGGTACTGAGTAGCATTCCCAGGATGAGCCTGGGAGGACTGTTCCAAGAGCAGCTGGAATTATCAGATTCCAGCCATGGGGTGAGGAGTCGTCCTCACAAACGGTTGCATCCCCTAAATCCATGGACTTAGGTGGAAGGGAACGGTCCCGTAGGTGGATAAGTCCACTGGCCAATGTGGAGTGGAGGACAGAAGACCACAAACGAAGAATGTCCACTGGGGATAGGATGGAGTGTTCCCCATCCTTGTGTAGGCTGAGCCACTTGAGATGGGAGGAGGCAACTGTTCCACAGACAAGATGGCAGGAGGTGGGACCAGAGTGGAAACTGCACCAAGGCAAAGGAGTTGACAGGTGGGGCTGGGAAGGGGCAGGGAGCGGCGCTGTATCCATATTCACTTCAGAAGTCAAAGATTCCAAAGAGATGAACAGGAGGGAAGATGGGAAATGAGGAAGAAGGCTGGGCCCTGTGCTAGGGCCTAGGGGGTTGGTAGGTGTGGAAGGTAAGGTAAGGTAGGCTGGAGGGTGCTCACAGCCGGGCTTCAGCCACGCCCCAGGCTTCTTCAGATAGTTACCACCACCCCGGCCATCAGTGGAGATTTCCCGGAAAACTGTAAGCATGGAGTGCCGGACTCTGTCGGCCAGTTCTGGGACGTCATCTGGAGTCAACCCTTCTGTGGGCACTGGGGGCAGCACCCGTACCTGACATCGCCCTGCAAGTGGGAAGGGAAAACTGTCAGGATCTGTCTAGCTGGTTTCTGCTTCTCGGGGAGAGGGTGGCCCCTCCTGAGCTCTCTAACTGAACCCCCCTCAGACTTTACCTCTCTCCTCTGCCCTGAACAATTATCCCTCTGCTTGCCAAGAGCACCCCTGTTCTAATCCCCCCTGCACAAGGCCGACCCAAGACTCCTGCCCAAACACTTCCTTAGCATCCCTCAGGCCCAACAGTTTGGATCTAGCATTTAGTGCACTATGATAGTCATTATTGCTCTGCACACATAAATCTTGTCTTTCCTGCTAGATAACAGCCTCTCTTGGAGGGACCAAGTATTACCTATCTAGCAGGGTGAATTTTACACATGGTGAGTGCTGAATAAACATTTATTCACTGATGTAGGGTCAAATCAGCTGATCCCATGAATTCCTCACATCTCAGACATTCCACACTGCCTGGCTTCTTTTCTCTTGAGGCCATCCCCTGAGCCTCTCCTATGATCTTTCTGGCACACCAATCCCTACCCAGAGTCCTCACCGGAGGTGAAACGGCGCTCCTTCTTGCAGTAGAAGTCTTGATAGGAAGACATGACTATAGGGACAATGGGAACCTGGTAGAGGGGGAAATGGGGATCAGCCTGCAACATCCAAGACCTTTACAGTAGGCTTTGGCCAGAGAAGAAAGGATGGTAAAGGGGCTGGAAAGTTTTGCAGTAGGGAAAAAAAGGAGTAATTACCTGGGCCTGGACTGCAAGGTGGAAGGCGCCACGTTTGAAGGGCAGCATAGAGCCATTATGGTTTCTTGTTCCCTCAGGAAAAACCCAGACACGCACCTGAGGGAGAGAAGAGTCAAGGAAGACACACAAAGAAAGGTCAAAAAACAGCTATAGTAAAAAAGAGCTGTGCTAGTGTGAAGGCACCTCCAAGGCCCCACCGGTCCTGCTGACAAATTTTTTACAACTGTTCTACTCTACCGCCCATTTCTCCAGAGTGACTCACATCTTGGGTAAGCAAGGTCTGGGCCACCTCCGACATGACATTGATGGCATCCCCTGTGCGCTTCCGGTCAATGAAGATGACTCCCGCTAGCCAACAGGCTAGCCCAGCAGAGCCAGCCCATAACAGCTCGCGCTTGGCAATGGGCACACAACGGCCTGGCAGGACCTCCATCATCCCTTGGGCAGAAGTGAGGTGAGGGGTGAGGATCAAGGTGGAGACAAAGCAAGACTTTTACCCAGATCATCGCCCACATTTCTTGGAGGTGGAGATAAAGGGAGGGATCAGGAAAGACTGGAAACCCCCAAATACAAATACAGTGAGTAAATATATCTGCCATATACTTATATGGCCAGTTTTACTCTAAGTAAAGAAGGCTTCAAGTGAATGTGCGATCAAGATCCCAGAGGAGAACTGAAAATTTCAAAGGGAGGGAATTTGGGAAAGGTTCCAGCAGGAAAGGCATGACTGGGAGAGGTGTCCCTGTGGAGGTGTCTCACCAAGTAGATCAAGAGAGCTCTGGTGATTGGAAACGACGACGTAGGGCTGTGAGGGAGGGAAGTGATGGGCCCCTCGAACCTCCACCCGGATCCCGTACAGGTATTTGATATGAAGCAGCATCAGACGCAAGATCCTGTGGGGTCACAGCAAAGGGTTGCTGTGGGAGCCATAGATGTCCTGCCTGCCTTAGCCCCTCCCTGCCCTTCTGTCTTTCTAGGCATCTTTGCAGTGTGCGCCTCCTTCCTTGTCTCTAGGATCTCAGGCTCTCGCATATGCTCCATGCCCTTCCCAACCACTGCCTGCTCTCAGCCCGTGGATCCCTTATCTCCCCTCCCCGCTTCCCCCTCACTTCATGTTCTCGACGTTTCGTCCTCGCACAGCACACACAGGGATGGCAAGCACAGCCAGGAAAAGGATCCAGCCGTTGTAGAAGGCCATCTTGAAGAAGTACTTGGCACTGGGGCTGCAGAACCACAGGGTGGGCAGCAGGAAGAGCAGCAGCAGGAAGAGCAGCAGCAGCACCGTCCAGACCCCCGGCCACAGCTCCATTCTGGCCACCTGCAGGGGACAGGGCAAGGGACAGCGTGCCTGGTTTCAGGAGGGAAGCAAGGGTGGACAAGGTATAGAGAATGAAGTGGCGGACTATGAAGACAAGGACCAGGGCTCGCCCTGGACTCTAAAACCTTCCCAGGTAGCCTCTCCAGAATATAAGCTGTGGGAAAGGAAACCTAAAGGCTTTTTCTTGCAGGTTCCATGTATACAAAACAAGAGACAAAAGACATGGACATCACAATTCAAAGACAGATTAAAAAAAAAAAAGATTAATCATGAAAAAAAAAAGACAATAATGCCAGCTAACACTTGTAGATGGTAAGGGTCTTATAATAGTCTATATTTGTGCTGTCTAATATGGTAGGCATAGTTGCATGTGACTATTGAACACTTGAAATATGATGTGTGTTATCATGTTGGAACTGACTCATAGCTGACTCTCCAGTGGGTTTTTGGAGGCTGTAAATTACACAGAAGGAGGCTACCCATCTTTCTCCCATGGGGCAGCTGATGGATTCGAACCATGTGTCTTTGGATTGGTAATGCAACTCCTTACTACTAAGCCATCAGAGTCCAAACTGAGAGACATGTAAGTGTAAATACATATCAAATTTCAAACACTTACAATAAAAAACAGAAAGTCAAGTACCACACTACTAATTTTTTTATATTGATTACATGTTGAAATTACAACACTGGATAAAAGAAAGAATAACAATTGCCTCCAATTCTTAGTACTTTTTAAAATATGGTACTAGGAAATTATAAATTGTAAGTGTAGCTAGCATTGTATTTATGTTGGACAGTACTAGTTTAAACTCAAGTATGATCCATGTAATAACCTATAAGGTATGATTATTATTTACATTTTATAGGAAACAGGTCCAGAGAGGTTAAATTACTTACCTATAGTCAAAGAGCTCCTTCCTAAAAGTTCCCTAACCACAAACAGCTTGACTTTCAACAACTCAAGTTATACTGTTGTATCTCTCGCATGTATAGACTACATACACCTACATACAACATACAGCAGATAAAGTGATAGCGACAGAACACTCACAGAAACACACCCAGTGTGTTTCACTGGCAAGAATAAAGGCTCATATCACTTACACAAATGCAGACATATTCATACACACAAATTGACAAGCACAACCAGTGACAAATAAATGAATGTAAATGCATACCTAGAAAAATTCTTCTCCACCTAAGCAGTCTCCTTTATTCTCAGATAAACTAACAGAGGTACAATACACAGAGACAGGCAAGCAAATCACACCACCCACTTCCAGCACCCTGGAGGTAACTTGGTTGGGCAGGTACAGTGTGAAAACCATGACAAATAGAAAGAGGGCAGAAAAAGAAAGGAGCATCACACCACCTGTCCTGAGAGAGAAAAAGGCTTAGGAAGAAGAGACCTAGCACCTGACACTTGTGGTCTTCCTCCCCTCTACCTAACTCTGGGGGCAGGGTCACAATTCCCAGTAAGAGTTGTGGCCATCAGAGGAACACAGAACTTCTGACAGATGCTAGCTCTAAAGCAGCAAGATTTTTGAGTTGCTCCATCCATTCCTGCTACCAGGGTAAACTTACATCAATTTCCCAATTTCAATTCTCCCCTAAGCTATTTGCAGTAAGCTCTATTCCCACAAATCCATATTCTACATGGCAAACACAGATTCCCACCCCTCCCCCCCCCAATCTATTTTCCTGTTTTGCCTAATGGCTCTTCTTGACAAGTTGACTTCTGCTTACATCTTCGGCCACATCCCCACAAAAAACATTTTTGCTTCAGTAAAACTGATTTGTTTCTCAGACACACCATGGGCTTCCAAGCTTCTACACCTTATATATGCTGTTCTCTTTGGCCAGAGTGTGCTTCCCCCTCCTTTTCACCTGCTTCACATAGATCAGAGTCACTTTTTAGAGGTGTGGTGTACAGGTTTGTGCTTTTCCCCTACACTTATTTTGATCAGTGGTTCTCAAAGTGTAGTTTCAGAATTGCCAGGGAATATTAGAAATGCAAATTGTTGAACCCCAATCTACCGAATTAGAAATTCTAGAGAGTAACTGGCTGATAATCTGTTTCAACAAGCCCACCAAGTGTGCCTTACGTGCACACAAGTTTGAGTGCCATTGATTCTAACTTTACCTAGTTTATAACTGTTCATTCAACTGCTCACTGGCATTTTCATTTCTTCCTTTTGGCTGTCAGCAGTTGGAGGCCAGGGACTGGCTTATCTTCAATGCCCAGGTGAAATGGGAGAGTAAAGACTCATTGCTCAGAGGATTATGAAGCTGTCTATATATACCACTCTAATTAAGAGTTAGATAACTGCACCTCTCAAATACCATTAGCCATGAAAGAAAACTCAAAAACTCAATGCTATTGAGTCAGAGCCGGTTTATGGCTGATCCTCCATTGGTTTTCTGAGAGTGTGAACTCCGCAAGAGGAGACTGCCCATCTGTCTCCCATGGACGTACTGGTGGATGTGAATGGCAGAGAGGCGTGGCCTTTGGGTGAGCAGCACAACTAAACAATGAACAGGCCAAGTTAACAGTTACCAATTCTAAGTACACACAGTAGGCTTGGTAAAGAGAGTCTTAAAAATCACAAAAATGATTTTGTTTCTCAAAGAAAAGAGAAACATACAGAATCGGGGCCTACATGTCACAGACAAAGAACATGCTGCTGCCATGAAATGTGTATCGACATTGCAAAGAGTAGAGTGACTGATAACGTTCACAAACATTTGCAGCTGAGTGGGGGCTGGAGATCTTGACGGTGCATTGATTAGCTCCACAGTTAAAGACAGTACACAGCCGTTAAAGAGATAACATGAGCAAAGAGACACAGGCGAGAGAGTCAGCAAGGTAAGACATATGGGATGGTTCTTTGAAAACTCGGGAAGACCAGTTACCCTCCTCTTTAATATCTTCCACTTCATATTACATAAAGTCACTGACCCTCTTAGGAGCAGATGTCCAAGGGTTTATAAACACACATGGAATGCCAAATGGGTTATAAACAAAGAGTTCACAAAACACACTGTCAATAAAACTGGTGTGAAACAAATGGTTATGTGCAACCAGAAGCACATATACTACATCAGTGTGTCCTGAGACATACACATGTGCACTGTGAAAACAGAGTACAATCCAGTCAGAGCACAAACCATGGACATAATATGCAAGCCAAAACAAAGTAAGGTATATCTTTGTACACACTAGAGTATACATGCAAAACAAAACTCATGCTGGTCCCATGAAACCACACAACAGATGAAATATACGAAAACACATATGTAAGTGGTATTTAAATGTGTCGAAACTGGAGACATGGAACCCAAAATATGAGAATGGCCAATTCTGAGGGACAGTAACACATCACTTCTTCACAGCCCAAAGACAACATAGGGACAAATGAGGCATACACAAACCATTAAGCATGTCAAAGAAAAACATGGCCTCACAATAAGGCATGTGTGTCAGTAAGGGTGGAAGGCCACTGCGAAACTAGAGGCCTTGTGCCTGGAGGGAAAAAGGTGTCTGAGGACATTCCTAGGAAGCAAATTCTGCTGGAAGGAGGAGGGTAATAAATCGCTCTCTTCCCTCCCCCTTCCCCCCTCAAGAGTCATGTGGGGCCAAAGACCAGGAAGAGAAATTGGGGAAGGTGTAGGGAACTCCCTCTTTAGTATCCTTAGCCCACACCCCCAGTCCCCAGTACACAGGGTGCCCATCTCTCCTCCCTCCCCATCTGGTCCATCCTTCCTCCCTCTCAGGCCCCCTCTCTCTTTTCCTCAGCAAACCTCCCGAGTCGGCCCTCCCAGACCCAATCTCTCCCAATCCCCTCATCCACGTCCCTTTCAGCACCCTCCTCCCTCCGTCCCTTTCCCGCCCCCACCTCAGTGGGGTGGGGGGCCTTGGGGGCTGGCCCCCTCCCCAGCCAGGCTGCGGCAGCGGTGGTGGCGGCTGGCTGTGTCTCTGCCTCTGTCGGGGTGTCGGTGCCAAGGGGGCGACGGGATTGGGGGGTGTCCTAGCCCCGGCCGATGGAGGGGAGGTGGGAGTGGGAGGTTGGGCCCATAGCGGTAGGACTGATGGGGGGTTGTCCCCCCAGCTCCCTCCCTCCCTCCCTTCCTGCTGTCTCTCTCTGAGGGCTGGGGCTGCTGCCGCTATCCCCCCACCCTCCCCAACGCCTGCTGGTTTCCGGGGCCGACCAGGAAGTGGGGGGCGTTGATGGGCGGTCTGTTTTGCCAATCACTTCCCAGGGACCCAAGCATCTCCGCCCCTCATCCTCCATCCTTTTGCTAGCTCCTCCCCCCACAAGAGCTCAGCTGGGACGCTCTCTCAGCCCTCAGGAGCTCCGCCCGCATCTTCTTTTTCTAACCTCTTTTCAGCACACACATTTCTGGATCCATAGTGCTGTGTTTTTTCCTCGACCTGTCCCTTCTCCCTCAGCTCTCCACTTTCTGCCATTTTTACTTGATTTCTCCTTAACTCCCAAGTGCTGCTTTCCCCCCCCCCCCCCCGCCCCCCCGCCCAAGCTTCAACTCTTCTCTAAGACTGCCTTTTTGTTCTCGATCCTGGTTTATTAAGCTTCTACTATCTGCCAGGCATGCAGGGTTTTTTCTTCTTTTACCTCTTATTCTCTCTCTCTCTCCAAGGTTCCATCTCACCTTTGGCTTCCTCTTTGCCCTTTGTCCCGCCCCCGCCCCCGCATTATCTGAAGCTGACCATTTCCTTTCCCCACCTTCTCCAGCCTTCAAGCTACGGAATATTCTCTGGCCTCCATCTCTCCTTTTCTTCTTGTTTTACTTGAGTACTTTTTCTTTCCTATATTCTAACATCTTCCTTCCAATCAGCCTCCCTACTCACTCAAGCTAAACCAACTCTTTTCTCCCAATGTGTTCCTTGAAGAAAAAAAAAAGTGGGTAAGAATGTTGATTCCTCTGGGTGAGCATGCCCTCCTTAATTCGGCAGCTAAGTATCCATCTCCATCTCCAGCCCTGCTCCCCTCTTCCCCATATACCCTTTTATCAAGATCATTCTATCACTTCTTCCTGGGTGACCACCTCTCCCTTTCAATTTCTTTTCCCCTAAACGTCCTCAGACCTTGTGGACCCTCACCTCCTCTATCTTCTTCGAATCATCTCCGAGCTTCTCACGTGGGACATTTTATCGTGGTGGTGTTGCTTAACAGCCTTCTACAAGCATCTGCCTCCCGCCCTGACACACCTTTTTCTTGCATAAATTTACACGCCCTGGGGAAGGATTTAAAGAGCCTTGACAGTGAGGGGACTGTTACCTAGTTCTGCAAATTGGACCAGAGAGTGACAGTCACTGACTGTATGAAAGACCTAAACTTTTAAGATTCTTGCCCAAGTGCCAGTGACCCAGACCAAGAGGATACCTGAGTCCTGCAGTACTATCATAAAAAGGGGCGGTCCCGTTCCGCCGCGTGTCACCTATAAAGGGCAGGTCCTGTCCACCACACCCGTTCGTAGAGGGGTAAAGGCAGACCTTTAAGGTCTTTAAAGTTTTAGATAGAAACGAGGTCAACACCATTCTACACAATGTGTCACATTAAAGAAGAGACGGGCCTATGCCTCACGTCTGGTCTGTAAATCACCTAAAGGGGGGGCTGTGCCGCACAGCAGCGGAAAATGAGTTAACACCAGCGCCACAGATCGATGCTTGCAACATCCAAACGTCAAGCTAATTCAAGTTTTGCTCCCTTCTTCACTAAAAGAGAGGGGAGGACCCAACTTCTTTACGTCACTGAAGGAGGCTGGAGCCATCTTGAGCCGTGCGACCCTAGTATTTGCCCTCTTTTTCTTTCCAGATCTTGGCCAATCAGAGGCGAAAGAAACGACCCAATCAGCCGAGGGAGACTCTGCAGGCAGAAGACCCGGATGATACCGTACCGAGGTCTTTGGGCCTCAAATTCCGCCAATTATACTACAGTCACCGTGGAGACAAGAGAGCGAGAGCAAGCGAGCGAGAGAGGTGGAGGGGTGGGCTCAGATAAGGCTCCACCCTCAGGGTTCGGCCGGCCCGGCACATTGCGTGCTGCACTTGAGTATTTTACCTAACCACTTTTCCGTCGAGTTCTAGCCAATCAACTGCTTTAGAGTCACAAGCTCCAAAGTCCAGTAGGAACCCAGACTTTCTTTGAAAGCGGAAGCTAAGAAAGGTTTTTAGTGGGCCAGGTTTCTGCAGTCCCAAACCAATCGCCTCTGCATTGGTTATGACAGGCAGTTACTCAGACAAGTAGCGCGTTTCCGGCCGAGTGACAGAACTATCAAAATTATTACCAATCCCATGGCCATCCATACTGACTCGAACTGCAGCAGCCAATAGTTGTTGGGTAAGGGCAGGACCACTTACGCCTCTTCCCGCCCCTACACTTTAGACCAATGCTTACTTTTAAAGCCTATGTGATTGGCAGGCACTTAGACCAATAGTCACTGAAAAGGCGTGAACCTTGCCCAATGAACGTGGGCAGGAGGAGGTTTCTTTTTTGTGGGGTGTGTGTGTATGTGTGTACTGAAGCGGGTACCCGGGGGTGATAGAATCGGCCATGGCAGCCGCGGAGGAGGAGGACGGGGGCCCCGAAGGGCCAAATCGCGAGCGAGGCGGGGCGGGCGCGACCTTCGAATGTAATATATGTCTGGAGACTGCTCGGGAAGCTGTGGTCAGTGTGTGTGGCCACCTGTACTGGTGAGAACCAGGAAAAGAGGGAGGTCTGCAGGAGGGGCTCATATTGTGGAGACTGATGGCAGGGAACCGTACAGTCATACAGATAAGCAGTGGATACATGCCCACGGGGGAGGCTCGAAAAGGGTACTTAAGTCTGTCTCGGTATGTGTGGGTGGGTGGGCGGTTATGTGTATAAAGATGAGATTTGTGGAAAGGAGGGGTCATGGGAATTAGGAGATGGGGCCTGGGGAGAGTGTTAAGAGGATGTGGGACAGGAGGACATGTGTAAAGCGAGACCACCGTACTCCACCTTTGTGGTTTTAGCTGTCCCAGTGAAAGAAGAGGTTAGGGGAAAAATGCATTAGTTGAATGAGAGGGACTCCGGGAAGGGTAGGTTGGATCACATTTAGGTGAGATCAACTACATTCAGGGATTGTTATGACAGAGCTGGGTATAAGGAAGGGCACAGTGGAGGAAAAGCTTTGAGAGGTTAGAAGGTCAAGGGAAAGGGTCTTTATTGGTCCTGAAAGTGAGTGGAAAGAATTAAAGGGGAGATACAATAATAAAGGGGGTTTGGCTCAAGAGTAATGATGCAGGATTAAGGATTAACTGGAAATTAAGCAGAGAAAGTGAGGAGTTGAGACTGGATGAGTATGTGTATTGGAGAAGAGGATTGAGTGTATTGAGGATGTCTGAGTTCAAATTTTTGGAAGATCAGGGAAGCAGAAAGGCCAGGTTGGTTGGTGTGGTAGTTTTGCAAAGTATCAACAGCAGCAGCTGGGAAGAGGAGTGAGATAGGTATTTATGACCTTTGAATCTGTGTCTTTTTCTATGGCTAGTTTGACTTTTTTTCCCCCCTCCTTCCATGCAGCTGGCCCTGTCTTCATCAGGTGTGTACTAAGAGATGAAGAGGGTGATGGGGAGCCCTAAGAGCAGGAAGCTTGTACTGGAAACCACTCTTTTCCCCTCTCCAGTGGCTGGAAACACGACCTGATCGACAAGAGTGCCCAGTATGCAAAGCTGGAATCAGTCGAGAGAAGGTTGTCCCGCTTTATGGACGAGGGAGCCAGAAGCCCCAGGATCCCAGGTGAGAGAGAACGTGGTCCTGGGGGAAGGTTGAAGCCTTTCTGCCCTGAGAGGGGCCTGGAGGAGAGAACATTCCTGTAGACACTTCTCTCCTCTTTCTCAGATTGAAAACTCCACCCCGTCCCCAGGGCCAGCGACCAGCTCCAGAGAGCACAGGGGTAAGTCTTTTTGTGTCCCCTCCGCCCCCGGGCCCCTTCTTTGCCATGACTTGCCCTTTCTCCACTTCCCTAGGGATTCCAGCCATTTGGTGATACTGGGGGTTTTCACTTCTCATTTGGTGTTGGTGCTTTTCCTTTTGGCTTTTTCACCACCGTCTTCAATACCCACGAGCCTTTCCGTCGAGGAACAGGTGAGAGCTGTCCTTCAGTTCCTAAATGGGAGCCACCTGGACCGCCTTGAGCCCCTTCCTGGTCCTGGAATGGAGGCTTCCTCTACAACTTTTTCTCTTACACAGGTGTGGATCTGGGACAGGGCCACCCAGCCTCCAGCTGGCAAGACTCCCTCTTTCTGTTTCTTGCCATCTTCTTCTTTTTCTGGCTGCTCAGTATTTGAGCTGTGTTGCTTCCTTGTCCATCTCCAGCCAGGGGAGAATCAGTATTGGGGTCCCTCCTTACTCCTGGACACCCCTCTAACCCTTTCACTTCTGTTGACTAAGGCCCAGTTGGCCACTCTCAAGGAAGCCTCAAGGAGGAATGACATCCGGACATGGGATAGGAGAGTCTTCTGCTTGCTCAGTGGCATCCTAAGTCCCAGTCCTGAAGGACAAACTGAAGAGCATGTCTGTTTCTCCTCTCTTCTAACCCTTTGCTTTCCCCAGATTTCTAGATATGATGATGAAATGTGGGCAAGGCTCCCTCTGACTCCTCCCAGGTTGATTTAATTTAATTTTCCTCTCCCCAGTGTCTAATATGTGTTCTGATTTTAAGTGCTTCCTCTTGCTCACAAACTCCTTTATTACAAATTCAATAAAAAAAAGTGAACTGTATTGGTATTTTCAACATCCTCCTTCCCTCTACCCTTCAGGACAGAAGCTCCTTTCCCCCATTTTGAGTAGATGTTTGGGGTGAGGTGGGGCAGCACAGGGGTAAGACTGTCATACAGATAGACAAGCAAGTCAGAAAGATGTGTCAGGCATTTACTTGTCACTGTGAAGGAAGTTTGGTGAGCAGGGTCAGAGATTGTACAAGAGAGAGCTGGGCTGGGGCCAGAACAGTGACAGAGAAAGAGAAAAGTTGATAACTGAGGACCTCTCAAGGCCCTCCTGCACCGCCCTCGATCACCTCAGGCTCCTCTGACTGATTTAGCTCTGCGCGTTCCTCCTCTTCCTCCTGGTTTTCTGGGACCTTCCTAGGGAGGAGCATTGAGAAGAATCCTGCACATGGTTCCCACATGCCATTGTTCCATCCTGAGCTCCTCATTTGCAGTCTGGAAGCTCAAGTCTATGTTGTCTGGCTTTCTCCTCACCTCTCCTCTCCTCGTCGTCGCCTTTGCCACACAATGATCCCAATGACCAGAGCAGCTGTCCCCAGGCCTCCCAGGATTCCCAGGATCAGGGCTAGGGTTCCCAGCCCTGCTCCCCCCACAGAACCTGTACAGAGAGAGAACAGAGGGAATGCTACCACTCAGTGTTGATCTTAACCCTAATCATGATTCTTTGGGTCTATTTGTCCCTGGTTCTCTCTAACCTTATCCAATGCCTCACCTGCAGTTGGTCCCTCCTCGCCTGTTTCTGGAAGACAAAGCCAGAAAGGAGGGCTTAAGTCTGGGAGAGGACTGCTTAGTGGGTCCTCCTATGAAAGGTTCTTTCCCTTTCTTCAGCCAGGGAGGGGAAGAGAGGCTCCTTCAGGCTGGGCTACCCTCTTAGCAAGCTTTGAGTGAGGCAGAGGAGGCTTGGGTGTGGTGTAGTGCACTGGGTGCTGCTGGAGGAGGGCAAGGAATGGCTGTTTGGAGAGATGGCTGGTGTGGCACTGAGACTCAGAAAGAGATAGGGAATAGGAACCCGCACTGTCCCTCACCCTAGCCCTAGTAGCACAGGGTTTTGGAGTGGTAGTCTCACCAGTGATGCTGATGATGACAGCAGGACTTTCCTGGGATCCATGAACGGGAAAAGTGGCCACACAGCTGTAGGTGCCCTGGTCCTCGGGCCCTACCTCCGGGAGGAGCAGCATGGGTCCGGAGGGCAGAGGCAGGACCGTGCCCTGATGAGGGAAAAAGAGTATTAAGAAACCCCTCTTCACACATCCTATACTTTGTTATCTACATCTTCGGATACCCTGCCTTCCTCCTCAGCTCCTTACATCAGTCCTTATCTTCCTTCCAGTTGTCAATGATGTGTCTACCTTCCAATACCTTCTCTCCAGGTCACTCACATCCTTAATCCAGTGGATCTCAGGTAGGGGCTGGGCAGGAGTTTTACAGGTCAGGGCCACAGTTCCACCAGGGGCTACTGCTCCACCTTCTGGCTCGACCATTAATTGGACCTCTGGGGCTAGGAAAGGGAATTAGGTTGAGAATCGTAGCAGTGAATGGCCCCCAAGGAGAAAGGCTTAAGCCCTGTTCTCCTGAGGACTGTGTATCTAGAATGAGCCCTCCCACCTCTGTGCTCACCCAGGACACTGGGCTGGATAGGGGCTGCATGCACAGCTCGGCGCCGGGGCAGGACAGGGCTGAAGCTACAGGAGAAGGTAGGGTGGGGAGCTCCTCCCAGGGCTGGGGTCACCATCAGCTCTGACTGGATTGTGAAAAGCCCTGTCTCAGGGTGTCTCTTGGTCTCTTCCTTTATGGACACTCCTGGGGTAGGAAGATGAAGAGACATCTCAGGATGAGTGGAGGAGAGATGGCAGAGAAAAGGCAGCTCAGAGGGGAGCACGGGACTTACCTTTTCCATCAGCTATCAGGGGCTTCCCATCCAAGTGCCAGCTAAGAGTTCCTGCCGGGTAGCTCCCTGATGACACACAGGTCCCCACCTGGGTGAAGAGCAACTGCCTCACCATTTGAAAATAGACTTTGACCATCCTTACACAGCCACACTCCTCTCCCATTCACAGGGCTACCTTCCTCCCATACTCTCCTCATACTACCTTACTGGGGACACCAGCTTTGATTTCTGAGGCAGGATCTACAATTTCTGGCTTCCCAGGACTCTCTGGAAGGGGAGGAGGGGGGAATCAGTCAGAAGCATTGAAGGTTCTTATAACCAGGTATGGGGTAGAGATAGGGAAAGTTCTCACATACTAGGACCAAAAAAACCAGGGGATCAAGTTTGAAGGCTTTTTCTGAAAGGAGAAGGCCTGGAACCCTTACTGTAGACTTGGACTCGGTAATTTGACTTGATCTCCTTGCCACTCCGACTCATTGCTCGACAGCGAAAAGTCCCCTCATCCTGGATCCCAACAGCAGGAAGGAGGAGGGAGCCGTTGAGGAGGATACGAGCTACACTATCCGAAGAGTCTCCCTGGGCAGAAAGGACCTTCCAAGCTTCTGTTCTGCCTGTGTTCTAGGGACAGAAAAGAGGGGACTAAACAGTGCAGTGTCTTTGGGGAAGGACTGGTGAAGTCAAGATGTGAGTCACCGCTACTCTCTCTGGGTATTAGGTAGCTGGACGGGAGTCCTGCTTACCCATTTCCATTCCAGCTGCTGGGGTGGTTTCCTGGGGGCCCCTTTACAGTTCAGCACCAATGGTTCTCCAATCCGCGCTGTGATGTTCTTACTGTCTACTACTGCCCCTGGGAGACAGCACCATGGTTGAGGGGCAGCAAGTGAGACAGGGCTGAGAAGTTAGGACAGGATGGGTGAAAGCTTGAAAAGCATTCCCATAAAATTCAGTCAGGGTGGGAAACTCTCTACAAGGATTGGTTGGGTTGGGTTGGGGTTGACGGGAGTGGCTCACCCCACAGACTGAAGACCAGCACCCAGGTTCCAGCTACTGCTCCTGCTGCCATCCTGAGTCCTCCCCAGGCTCCTGTTGCTGTCTGTCCTTGTCACTGCTGTGGCCACTGCTCTAGGGGAGGCTTGCACCCTGCCCCCTACCCCCATCTCTCCTGTACTGTTCAGTCACTGGGAATGCTAAGAATTCACACCTCACTGAAGAGTCCTTCAGGTACCAGGAGAAACTCTTACTCCACCCCTGGGTGCTACCAACCTGTGGGGGTGGGAAAGTCTCTTACGCTTTAGAGTTCCTAACCACCAGGGTCAAACACCTTTCATATCCCATCACTGTCAACTGGGACTTGCCTGGTGGATAACTGGAAACCCACCTTGACTAAGCAGGGTTGCTGGGCAGCTGGGTACAAGCGGCAGTTTCCCCATGGTGGTGGGGAGGCACCCAGCATGAACTGTGTGAGTCTGGGTCATGAGAGCAAGGCTGGGAGGAGGCACAGAGGAATTTGGGAAGAAACCAGTTTGGGGTTTCGTGAGTGAACACTTTTTTTTCTGGGACTTAATGTGTTTTTGAAAAAAAAATCTCTACTAAACCCAGGGGAAAAAGAAATTTCTTTATTTAAAACTGGTTTGTTCTGTGAAACTACAAGTTTACAAGTGAGGAGAGAACTGCCCTTGGCCCATGCCTCCCGCTCCCCCATCTTGTCACACTCCCAACCTGCTCCCCCAGTCCTGCCCAGCTCTTTGATGGGAAGGGTTCCTCATTCAGTCTGGTTAAATCCTGAGGATGTTGAGGGGTGCAGGTGGCAGGGCTCTGGGCTGAAGATGGGGTTGTGGTGGTTTTATTTTCCCCAACACCTAGCTTTTTGCAACCTCCCTCCTGATCCCCTCCCCCTCAATTTTGGTGTAAGAAAAAAAAAAAAAGCCCAACACCTCCTTTCTGGAGAGACTGAGGAAGATACATATATGAGCACCCTAAACCATATTTAACATTTTTTGGCAATAACTCCCTCCCAATCCTTCCTGCTCCAATCTGAAAAGTTTAAAAGAAAAAGATCTAAAGATTTTATCACTTACAGGGGAAGGTGGCACCTTTGATGTCCCCAAAATGATTAATTCTGAGTCCAGCCCTGCCCAAGGGTCATGGGAGTGGGTGACATCCAGCTGCCTGAACAAGCAAAGGAGAGCTCTCAGCCACTTTGCGTGGGAGGGCTTGGTGCCTTGCAAACTTCCCTTCCTGATGGACAGGACTGGGACCAGGTAGGCTCTTCAGATCTGTTTCCCTTTCTCTTTACCAGGACCCCTTTGGCTAATTACCCCTAATGTGGGAAAGAAAATAAACCACCCTCCCCCCAAAATCAATAGACATATTTATAAAAACATCTACTTCCCCAAACTAAAAATCAGGAATCAACAACAAAAAACTCAACCTCTCTCACAAAAAAACCCCTCTAAACCAACAAAACAGATCCCAGGTTTTTTTCTTTCCTTAAAAAAAAAAAAAAAAAAAAAAGGTTCAACCCCAAAGCCCAGTCAACAATTCCCTAAAGTAGCAGAAACTCCCTCCGAGGTAGATATCTGAGTCAGACACTCTCGTCCACCGAGCGATTCTATTGGTTTAAGATGAGCTGCGTATGAGGTAATAAAGCCGTCTGGAGGAGCAGGGGGTGGGGATGCACAGGGGGCACGGCCCATGTCCTCTGTCCAGAAGTGTGTCCCCATTTTTGGCATCTCTAGTTGGGCAGGGCTGGCGTCTCCACAGATTCCAGAGTAGTTAAGTAGGGTGGGGAGGGAAAAGAGGGGGGAGTCCAGATACAGAAAGAAAACTCAAGAGAGAGAATAGTTGTATATAAGTGTGTGTGATAGAGAAAGAGAAAAGCGAGTGTGTTTGTGTGTGTATGTTTCGAGGTAAGATAAAGGAGGGTAAGTAAGGCTGAGAGGAGGGGAAAAAAAGGGAAGGCAGACCCCACTGTCCCCTTAGGGGATCCCATTCTCCCTGTCACACAGTTACCACCCCCAGCACTAAGAGTCTGGTCCAGGAGGGAAAGACCCCATTTGCGCTTCTCTGTCTTGTGCTTCTCCTGTGTCTGGGGTTTATCCTCTGGATGCCTGCTGCTTCTTCAAGAGCCGCCGTGTGAGCCCCTGCCCTGTGGCCCTGAGGGGCAAGATTAGTTGGAAGTGTCAGAGTGAACGCTCCCTGGTCCCTCTGTTGGGGATGTCACTGAGGATGGGGTTACAGCCTCCTGCCAGCCACCATTTGCCTGGAAAAAGAGAAACTGTTAGGTGAGGGCACCCAGAAACCTTGGTGCAGACAATATTGCTAGGCAGAAGGTCCTGGTGAGAGGTAAAGGGATGAGGGCTTTTGGTATCCACTCACCCTCATTTCCCGGGGGCTGTATATCTGGCCTCCCCCGAGGTTATCCCCATAGCCCCCGGGTCCCATTGAGTGTCGGAGCGATTCTACCTGCAGGCAGCACAAAAAGGTATGACATGGTGAGGAGAAACTGCAGAAGTTCTTCTAAAGGAGAGGAAACAGGGTTTGGGAAGGCCTACTCAAGAGGAGATGGAGCACCTGACCTGGGAAGCAGAATACGAATCTCCATTGAGTCCAGGCATCCCCAGAAACATGTCTCCGGATCCTGAGAGATTAAAAGAGCCGCCAGAACCTTAGGCGAAAAAGAGAGGGAATTAAGGAATGTACAAGGAGACCAGAAGGCAGAAAGGAGAAGCACCACATATCCCTTTCCAAAAATCCTGTACTAGCTTTGTGGAGGTGTCCTACTTAAACTATTTGTAAAACAATATTCCAACATTCAGAGAAGGATGTTCCCAAGGCTACCTTGGCCACTCACTGGAAGCAGAAGTTAACTACACTGGAGTGGCCTCTGTCCCTTGATATCTCTACCTTGCCTCAGCCTGATCCTGCTAACTCTAAGATCATCCCTTCTGCTATGATCCTGCCTAGACAGGAAGTAGGAACAAAAGCAGGAAGTATCCAGAACAGTCAAGCAAGGTGACAGTGGGATCTACCTGCGGAGGAGGGGGGTGTCGGGGAGCTTGTACGGCTGTGGCCCCCCTGAGTGACTGACACAGCAGTCTTGACAGCATAGATGTTTGCCTCTTCTTGGAACTTTCCAATATTTTTCTTATAGCGGATCCGCTTGTTGCCAAACCAGTTGGAGACCTGAGGAGTATTGGGAATAAAGGAGGGGCAGGAGGAAACCTTTCCTTCTGAAGCTCCTCATTCAGCAGGAGAAGAGAGCTTTATGCCTGAAGACTCCATCTCTTCAAGCCCCTCATTCTTGTTACCTGAGAAACAGTAATGCCACACTTCTTGGCAAGTTCTTCCTTAGCCTCCTCACTAGGATATGGATTACTCAGATGGGAGTAGAAATACTCATTTAGGACCTCGGTGGCCTGTTTGCTGAAGTTCCGGCGTTTTCGTCTACCGGAAGGAAGGATGGTGAGGAGGATGTTAATGTCACAAGGTTATCATGTTGTATGACATAGCAATGCTCAGGCTGGACAGGAATGGGAAGGAGTGTGGTGCTGGGAGTGGGCCTGGGTCCCCCGGGTCTCACCTGGCATCAAGGAAGCGAGAACGCAGGATCATGACAGCCTCACAGGTGCTCTGCTTGAGCTGCATCTGGATGGCACTGAACTTCCGATGGATGATGCTGACCATGCGCTCCATCTCCTTGGGTGCCACAGGCCGTGTGCGGCTCTGCTCCCTCAGCAGGTTCATGACGTGGGTTGTGAACTCATTACATGCCTGCATGGGGGCCCATGTGCTGGTGAGGAGGAATCGTGGGCCTGTGCACTTCTCCCGAGAACATCTCCCTCCACTCACTTAGCTTCCTCTCCTTACCTGCTCATACTTCTCCAGCTCTGAGTGGTAGATGTGGCGGATCTGGGCAAGTTTGCTGCGATAGTCTGAGTGTTCAATGGAGTTGTCAGGGGACACACCACCCCCAGAGGCTGCAGCGGCTGCAGCAGCTGCAGCTGAGCCACCTCCTTTCTCAGGTCCAGCCACACCCTCTGCCAGTAGCATGTTGTCCAAGCGCATCAGCTGCGGGTCCACTGGCTCTTCCTCTTGGGAGCTTCGGATGCTGAGGCCTAGTATGCAGTCAAGTGGACTTAGGGACCAGGGTCCCCCATCCCTAGGTCTCAGTCTTCTAGTGCCTCTTGGAGTCCCACATTTCCCAACTCCTGTTTCCTTTCCATCCCCTTTAGCAACCACCCCAGCTCCCTACTTTCCTCAGCACCCCAAGATTTCAGTCTTAGCCACAGTCCAATACTGAATAGGGTTCTATCCCCAGAAGTGAGGAATCAGAGGGGGATTACATACCAGTTTTCTCCTTGATTTCACACAGGACACTAAAGAGAGCAGGCTTCATTCTGTGGCAATTTAGGGCATGCTTCCTATGGAGGAATGGAATTGGGAAAAAGAAAGTGTGAAAAGTGGAGAAAATACACAAACAGCAAAAGGGGGAGAGGGGAACACAAAACCAGAGGCGAGGTGGTGAAAACTGTGGAAAAATGGAGCAGAAAGTATGGTTGAGGGCTGAATGGATTTGGGAGGCCTTGGGAAGGGACCAGCTCCCAAAGCATGCTGGGAAGCTGCTTGGTTTAAGGAAGACTGAAGGGAGAAGTCAGGAAGCCAGGGTGGCCAGGGGCTCTGAGTCTGCGAAGGATCTGGAGGCAGAATTTGGGTAGATGGTCACTGGAGAAATGTGTGTAAATAGTTGGATTTCACAGTAAAAGAAATGGTGCCTGGGAAGGGAATGTACAATTTGAGGGTGCCAGAGAAGAGTTAGGGATACTGAGTTCAAGTAGGGAGTCCAGGACAGATACGTGTTTAGGGTTGCTGGGTAAGGTTGATGATGGAATGCATCTAGTGTCAAGTTGAGCTGTGGAGGAAGAGTGGGCGGAGAGTGTGAAAGAACTCTGGGGAGGGGTACAGGGACCCCAGGTCTGGAGAGAATGGGGGTGAGCTGGTGTAAAGTTGCACGGAGGACAGCATAGTCTAGAATCGGTTCTTAGTCTGAGAACCAAAAAGGGGGCTCTGGATGGAGGGCCGTTCCAAGGGAGTGTGAGGGTCAGCAAGAGGTTAAGAGGGGGCATGAGACCACCTGGGGTTCCCTCTGTGAAGGTTTTAAGGTCTGGGGGTAAAGGGAGGTTTGAGAGGGATCACTTATCTCCAGGTTTCCAAGAGTACAGAGAGAAAAGAGCCGAAGGATTTCGGAGAGGGTCGGGGAGTTAGGGGGCTCCCAGAAGATTTAGGGATTGTGAATGGGATCTTGCCAGGTCTGTGTGGGGTCCCGGGGAGGGGGCACTCACTTGGCCTGGGCCTCGTCCAGGCTCTGGTCGGTGATGGTCATTATCTGCTGCAGAATGTCCCCGATGTCTTGCTTCCCTCGGCCTCCCGGGACCCCCCCGCTACCCCCACCGGGATCTCCGCCACCGGGAGGCTCGCCAGGGCCCCCAGGCTCCCCGCCCACTAATCCCAGACCCCCCCGGCCCCCGCCTGGAGGGGGCGGCCCTAGCAGCCGCTCGTCCATAGCTGGGGGGGGGCCCTGGGGCCCCCTCCCTGCTCCGCCCCTCCCCCCGCCTGGTTACTTCCCCCCCAAACTCGTCGGGGCCGCTGCTCCCTCCGCCCCCACCCCCGCCCGTCTCCCCCCTCCTAGCTCCCCCGGGGGTTCACCCCGGCCCTGAAGGGAGACCTGGGGTACCGGCTGGGCCCCCCACAGGAGACCCCGGCCCCCGGCGGCGGAGAAAATGGAGCCGGAGAGAGAGAAGAGGCCCAAGCGGGGGTGTGTGTGAGAGAGAGGGAGGCGGGAGGAGGGAGAAGGGGGGAGCGAGGGAGGGAGGCTGGGGGAGGGGAGCCGGGGAGGAAGAGGAGGGGAGAAGGGAGGAGGAACAGGGAGGAGCTGGGGGCGGAGAGAGACAGAAACAGAGAACTGAGACGGAGAGGAGGAGGGGAGGGGACAAGAGGACGAGGGGCAGGGGGAGGAGACTGGCCCACCCGTGGAACTACGTGAATGCCCTGGGGCAGACGGCGGTGGTCAGGGAGGGGACAAGCCGGATCCGGATGGTGGATTTGGAAGGGGGCAGCCCGTTGGGTTCGCGTCTGGGTTCAATGCGGACTCTGGCCGCTGGAATGCCTGGGTCCACAGACAGTTTGGTTCATATTTCTTGTCCTAATGACTCCCCTCTCAGTTCTACTTAATTAAAACCGGGAGAGGGGGGCTTGGGGGGGATAATTAGGGAGGTCTCCAGCCGCTGCTTAATGAGCCAGTAATTAAGCAGCCAGGGAGGGGAGCTGGCCTCTGGCCAGACTAGGGAGAGAAGGGGCCTCAGGCCTCACCTTCCCACCCTTCAATTCCCTCCCCCCCTCCCCCCCCCCCAGGCACCAGCCTTCAGTCCAGAGGGGAATTAGATTTATTCACAACGAAAACATCAGATGGAGTCACAGCAGCAGAGGCGGGCAGGGCAAGGCGTGTGGGCAGGGCCAATGGTCCGTTCACAGCCTTGAGGCCTCTCAGTCCTGGGGCAGGGGAGTGCCATGGAGAGCCTTTGTGGACAAACAATCTCTTCAAGCCCACCCACCCCTTTCCGGTAACTGGAAAAGATGGTGGACTGTCTTGTCTCTACAGGCACAATCTTCAGAGTTTGTCTCTTTCTCAGACCCTGGGTAGTGGCTTGACTCTTGGGAATGTCTCCACAACTCAGGTCAGAGATTCTTAAGCACCCACCGAGATCAGAGGAGTGGGATGCCTCTTAGTGGTTGGGATCTTCTCACTGCCTCAAGCTCCTCTGTATTTAGGGAAGGAGTTCAATGACTTTCCTACCGTGCCTTTTTTCCTATTCCCAGGGTTTGAGGACTTTTATCTCCTCCGTTTCCCAGGGGAGTTGGTTCAGGGGGATGGATATTGAGCTTTCTGCTGGGTCTTCCAGTCTCTGCTGCCCCTGCCAAGCAGGATTGGGGGCAGGCAGCCGCAGTCTAGCATTGAGCCCCAGGAGTGCTGAGGGGCTGGTTAGGAGCTCAGGTCTCAGCAAGTGTTTGTGGGAGGCCTGGACCTTTGTTCCTCCATTCTTCCCCCACCCTGAACCCTCAGCAGCAACTCCAGGAGCTCCTGTCCTCCGGGGGGTAGGGGAGGCTCTGACCGCTGGGCTTCCATCCGCTGGCACTGGAGGGAAGTGAAAGGTGTTGGTGAAGCTCTGGAGGGAGAGGACACTAGAGAAGAATCAGGAGAGTGTAGGGATACAGGATACCTATGATTGTACGGGGAACTAGGGGCTGGCAATAGGGCGGCTGCCAGGGGAGAAGAAGGGATAAGGCCCCAAAGAACTTTAGGACTAGGAGACCAGGAGGTCTGGGACTTTGTCCTACCTGGTGACTGAGGATGGTGCTGTAGAGCTGTTCTCTATCCTCAAGAGGCCGAGGTGGGGCTGGGTTTCCGTTTGGGGGGCTTTGGGGTACACAGAAAGTGGCCCTCTGTTCCTCTAGGCGGCGGGACTGGACCTCAGCCACTAGGTCCAAAAGGAGCTCAGTCTGCAGGGAAAGCAGGGAGGCCGAGCAGGGCCCTAGGGCTGGCAGGGGGTGAGGGGAGGAGAGAGCTCTGAGACCCAAAGAAGTTGGCAAACAGAGGTGGGGGCAAAGAGGGTGAGGTGACTGGAGACTTGGTTAGAACCAAGGGCCCAAAGTGATTAAGTCTTGGTAATAGAATCAGAATCCATTACACTGGTAGCACACACCAGGGCTGAAGCTCCCTGTGTGGGTGGGGGTACCTGTATGGCGGCTTCCTGGAGCAGGAGGGGATGGAGGAGCAGATCTCCAAGGCCGAGTGGTGGTGTTCAGAGGGGGCCAGTCCTGTTCATCCTGGGAGGGGCCTTGATTCGGGGAGATGTCCTTTCCAATCAAGGGTAAGTGGAGTAAACAGGGAGCCAAGTGGCCTGTTTCCTCTGTGGCTCCCTTTCCTGCCTCATCGTGTCCAAGCCCTTTTAAGTCTCCAGAGTACTGCTAGGTCTCTGCTCCTTCCTCTTCTTTCCTGTTGCCAGTGACAGCCCTCCCGACTCCGGGTGCCCCACGGCTCAGCTCACCTGCTTACCATCTTCCTCTTCCTGAAGTCTTTCTGCCTCCATCCCCTGGAGGGGAGCAATCGATGGGAGAGTGGTAGCTGGGATTCGGGCCGAAATCCTGGGTTCCAGACAGGAGTGGGGGCTAGAAGGGGTGGGGGCCAGCTGGGGGCTGGATGCCTGGGTTCTGAGCAGGAAGCTAGGTTCCTGGTCAAACCCCCCCCATGGGCCCCGCCCATCCCTGTCAACTTCCTCCAGTTCTCTTTTCCCACCCAACAGTTTGCTAGACCTCTCTAGCCCCAGGGGAGCACAAAGACTGGGAAAAGCTCCTCCAACTGCACGAGTTAGAGGGAGACTACTGATGGGGAAGGACTCCTAGCCTTCTTATCCTCAGTGTCTCATGATCCCTGGCTTTTCCTTCACCCCCCACCTCCCCTTCAGCTCTGTCAACATTGTCAACACAGGAACTAGCTTCACAGGAAGTGGTTTCACTCCTCAGAAACTCTCCACCCCCCAACCAGGTTCTTTCCTTCTCCAAGATATACCCCTGAAGTAAGATTAGGTCCTCTTAACACCTCATCAGACCTATTGGGGCTAAAAGGGGCAATGCCCCTGTGGGAAGTGGAGAATGCAGATGCAGGAATGGTCTCCCCCTACAGCACAAGTACTCTTTGATACCTGATATAACACATGATAAATGTGCAGTAATATAAAAGTATTGCTTATTTCCTCACTATCCAATAAATGCTAAATTATTGAATAATTATTATTACTCATTTAATTATTATTCAGTTATTATTCCTGCCCTAAGGGGCTTACAGGGGATAAGATGTCTACCAAATATGAGAAAACAGGGTAGAGTTCATGCTGACAACACAGTTAACACAGACAAGGGACATGGAAAACTTTATTCTGGGCACAAATTTCTATGTAGGAGCATAGAACTGGGAAAGGGAGCAAACCACTTTTCTGCTCCAACCTTAACGCTAGTCAGGATGGCTGGCACCAAAGTCAGATTAAGACAGGTAGAAAGGGCTATCTGGGATCTTTAAATGGCAAACTTGCTATTTTAGGCATTTTCAAAGAGGTCATCACTAAATGCCTTTGGCTGGGGGGCAGAGATTAGGTATGTTCTAGTATGTATGCTGGTTTCTCCCGGGGCTATTAAAAGACTTTGCTAGGACTCCAACACTTCACTCACTCATTGCCATCAAGTCTGAAATGATTTAGCTGACTCTCTAGCAAGGTTTCGCAGGCTGTAAACAAGGGAGGAAACTGCCCATCTTTCTCTCAAAGTAGTTGGTGAACTGGAACGCCAATCCACCTTTGGGTAAGCAGCACAACTCCCTACAGACTATGCCATCAGAGCTCTCCAAATACACTTGCTCTTTATCAGCTCCCATACAAATGTTGAACCTAGGGCAAAAGATTCTAAAAGTCACTCTCATTGCTTTCTCTTTTTGCTCCCAACCTCTCAAAAAGAAAAGAAAAAAGTCACACTTCAAATCGGCTTTATTGTGGGAGTGGCAGATTTGGTGATCTTAGGGAGCAATAGCTAGATTGATGCTTCCCCCCTGCAGCAGTTTGTTTTTGTGGGGAGAATGCACATGTTCATCAGCTGGAGATGCTCTTAGGACCCCTTTGGTGTCTACAGTGTCTTGACACATAGTAGGTGTCAGCCTGGAACCATACACAGGAGAGAACATCTTAACATCCATTTGCCAGCAGTTCTGGATTCCTATTTACGAGGCTTCTCCCACTGCACTTTAGGCCCTCGTCATCCCAGTTCCCTAAAAAAACCCTCTTTACAGAGCATTGGTTTATCCACGTGGAAGACGATGTCTGTTCAGGTGAGAATGCATTCGTTTTGGAAGAGAAACTAAAAGAGTTTACTTTTGGGGCTTCAGCACCTCAAGATCCATAGGCGTTCTAGACTTCCTTTCGGCTAATGATTTTTATGGAGTTACCCTTCCTTCCATATAGCTTCCTATTTTTGGCCCTCGTCACCGGAATTAAAAGACTGCGGAACCCAGGCAGCTTGAGGGGATCCCCGCTCCGGAGAGGGAGTAAGGCAAGGAGGTGGGATCGTAGTGCTCGGGGCGGGGCCACAGCCTCCCAGAGCCACCCAATCACAGGACCAGTCAGCCGCTGAGGCTCCACCCCCGTGCCGGGCCGCGACCCCTGATCTTCCCCGCATTACCGCAGGGTTGGGCCGAGGCCCGCGCATGCCTGCAGAAAATCTAGGGCCACGATGTGTCAGGCCGCCTCCTGCTCCTCCTCCCGACAGGCTCCTGCAGCGAGAATAGGCCCCGCCTCCATGCGCTGCCAAGTCAACCGACAAAGTCCGGGCTTGCGGACAAGCCACGCCTCCTCGAGGGCTTGCTCCTGCAGATAGCGTCCGAGTGCGTGGCAGAGCCCCGCCCCCGCGCTGGGGCACGCTTCCCGTCGCGGTTCGCGCGCAAGAGAATGCGCCGGCTCCGCGGCCCGGCGTGACTTTGTGACGCGCTTCGGGTGGTCCGGCCCCTTCGAGCAGAGTGAGCAGATCCCAGTGGTTGCGCTGGCGGGCGATGTCTCCGGGCGCTAACCCGGCCTGGTCTTGCAGCCCTCGTGCCGCACCCACCCCCAGCAGCAGCTGGGCTACCTCCACTGCTCCTTCTCGGGCTGCTAGGAACAGCGGCGTCTGCTCCTGCGCGAAGAAGAAAGCCATTGGAAAACGTTAGAGGGCCGCGCTCACTGGCCTGGCGCGTCATGACTCCACCTACGCCACCGCTGGCCCAGCCCCCTTCACGTTTTGCCTGATTCCCGCGCTTGCCATCGCCCAAGCTCACTCTTTTGTAGGGAACTTGCCACCCCAGTCTAACCCTGCTGTCTTGGACGTCTTTGTCGGCTCCAGCCTGCAGAAGGGAGCGAACGGCTCGGGTGTTGTTCACAGCAGCAGCCCAGTGCAGCGCGGTTTTTCCTGGGGGATGACGTGGGAGGTTACACTGGGGTTGGAGACCGAAGCCTGGGTTCTGGTTTCCCACGGATTCTTGCTTGAGGTTGGGTGGGGTTGTAGGGCTACTCCGGCCCGCCAGGTCCCTTAAAGGAGGGAAGCGTCGCCTAGTGACAGCCAGCAGGCAGGAAGCACTGGCTGTGGTGACGTCACTGGCGCGGGGGCGGGACAATGGGACATTGTTCTCGGGCTGTTGCAGCCACCTTCCGCTACCCTAGGGCGCTCTTTCCCACACTCTGAACACCCAAGTCTCAAATCCCCGTGGGCTAGGTAACGGGTGTGTGAAGATAGCAGGGGAAGGGGGGGAGACGCTTGCTTTCCATAATGTCACCGCACCTCAGACTTAGGGGAGGAGAGACTACGCCAACCTGTAGTCCTGCTGTCCCTTTTTTAACATTTCGTCTGCTCAACTTATATAGCACAATACCCTCATCAGATCCATACCCCATTTGTCTCTGGCCCCAACATCTGCTTGAGCTGCAATCAGTTCTTCAACCAGGTCCTCTACCGCTAGCCTGGCAGCCAGCATTAAGGGTGTGGTCCCATCTTCTGCGCGTGCATTCACAGCAGTCTCTCTGCTCCGGAGCAGAAGCTGAGAGACCACAGAGGACCAGTGATTATGCTAGGGTACCTTGGATTGCTAGCTCACTTTTAGTGCAATCCCAACCCACACCCACAGTTCCCTGGTTGACATATATGGTCAAGTGCTCAGCTGCTAACTGAAGGTTGATAGTTGTAGTCTACCTAGAAGAAATGACTTGGTGATGTACTTGTTAGGTGCCGTCCAATCGTAGACGACTCATAGCGATGCTATGAACGAAAGGCCTGAGCACTGTTCATAGTTTCCAGAGGCAAGCCATTTTGGAAGTGGATGCCACTCCTGCTGATGTACTTACAGAAGGAAAAAAACTAGGGAGCACAGTTCTACTCTGACACATATGGAGTCAACCTAAGTTGGAATTGGTTTGATGTAACTGGGTGATATATATCAACCATCTGTCCTTATTTTTCTCTCAGCCCCCCCACCCCCCAATTTTCTCAACTTTTTTGCCAAACTAGGGGAAACATTATCCTAGCTTTACTGGAAAACTCTTTCCTTTATTCCCTTTCAGGACTTCAGTGTTTGCTGACCTGGCAGACTTCCCGAGCATCAGCTGCCACAGCAGTGTGAAGTGGGGTGCGCCCTGCCCTGTCTGGTTGATTAGGGTTGGCTCCAGCCTCCAGTAGGCGACGGGCTGCAGTTGGCCGACAGAATCGAGCAGCCAGGTGTAAGGGGCTCTCCCCAGTACCCACAGTATGAGCCTGGGAACTGGCCCCTTCACCTAGGAGAGGTTCCCATGGCTCAGGGCTTCCCAGCCATAAGCCTTGGAAGGTCTTGGACTCCATTCCCCCACAGCAAACTGCTGACATCAAAGGTGTCACACCATCTGTGAGTGAGACATAATGAAAAATGGGTGACAAATCAGACTGAAGGCTACACCTAGGGGTAGGGGAAAAAGAGTCTTGAGGAAGTCCAACTCTGGTTCTTGAATTTATGTGATTTTAGTAACCTTTTCTCTGGGCTTTAGTTTCGTCACCTGAGAAAGGAGCCTTAAAAGTTTAGGGCAGGTCTACAACCAGGAGAAGATAAAATAGATGAATGGGACCTTCTAAGAATCAAATCCCTGTGCACATCCAAAAACTTCTCCAACAGGGTGAAAAGGGAAGCCGCAGACTGGGAAAAAGTATTTGGTAATGACATGTCAAATAAGAGACATCTAGAATTTATAAAATACCTGAGCACCACAACAAGATAAAGGTAAACAATCCAATTGAGAAATGGACACAGGATATGAACAGACACTTCACCAAAGACATTCAGATGGCCAACAAGCACATGAAGAAATGTTTAAAATCCTTAGCTCTAAGAGAAGGGCAAATCAAAACAACTATGAGATACTATCTCACCCCAGTAAGAATAGCCAGATTTATCAGAACAGCAAACAACAAATGCTGGTGAGGTTGTGGAGAAATTAGAACCCTTATTCACTGTTGGGGGGAGTTTAAAATGGTGCAACCGCTGTGGAAGGCAGTATGACGCTTTCTCAAAAAGTTGCAAATAGAGATACCAATTGACAGCAATTCCACTACTTGGGAATATACCCCAAAGAGACCATAACTGCCACCCAAGCAGGTATATGCACACCCATGTTTATCACGGCTTTGTTCCCAATAGCAAGGAGTTGGAAACAACCTAAGTGCCCATCAACAAACGAATGGATAGAGAAGCTGTGGTATATTCACACAATGGAATACTATGCTGCATTGAAAAACAAGGAACTCATGAAATATTCAAAATGGGTGACCCTCGAGGACATGCTGAGTGAAATAGCTCAATCATAAAAGGACAAATACTGCATAGTGCCACTGTTGTAAAATAGGACTGACATTGGGGTTGTGGGGAGACTGAGAAAGATGGGATAAATAATGTATACTGCATTGAAACACATGAGGGAGAAAACTGTTTAAAAGGGATATGTGATTAGGTATTATTGTCATGACAGGAGTCCAGAGCAAAGGTTGTATAGTGGAGTGGACCTGGGGGGAGGGATTGTAAATCAATGAAAGAATTTTTCCTTTTCAGAGAGAAGAGTGAATTAGGGGGAGGGGTGGGCAGGGAGAAAAAGTGCAACAATGAATGAATGGAAATCCAAAGTTTGTAAATTTTCATTAAAATTAATAATTAAAAAGAAAGTTTAAGGCAAGGTTGCGTGGTTTTTGTTTGTTTTTTTAAGTTTAAGGCAGTTCTGAAACTTGAGCCTGGATCAGACTCACCTAGAAGACTTTTTAAAACAAGCTGCCCATTTCCTTGAATTCTGAATCAATCTCCCTGAGATGGAGCCCAGGAATTGGCATCTATGTAAAACTTCCAGGCAATGCTAATTCTGCTGGCCCAGGGACCATAGTTTGAGGACCACAGTTCTAAGGCAATAACTTGCTTCCTCTAGTTCTGACATTAAAGGACTTTGTGATTCTAAGAAGGGTCAAAGGAAGTGTTCATTTCTTGCTTTAAGGAGACTCACATACCAGGTCCACAGGTGTCCACATCAGGGGCCTCCATCTCGGACTCTTGGGGAGGTGTCAGCATGGCTGCCTGGGGGATCTCCCCACAGTCCCCACTCAGAGTCCAGAACTGGCACTTGGAAGGTAGGGTCATTTCTTCAGCCTTGGGAAACAGGGCAAAGATCAGTGAAGGTAGTTAAGTCATCCTCCAGTTTCTGTCATTCTTGTCCCAGCCCTTTCACCTGTGTCACCTCCTCTCCCTCCTCAGGAACCGAGCACATCACCACTCCATCTTCATCAATTTCTAACTCTGACTTCAGAGCCCTGGATATAGAAGAGTAGAGGTTACATGGAGTATGACTATCATGGCCCCCAAGATTTCAGACAGCATTTGTCTTCTACTTTCCCCTCTCTTTAACTTCTACAATAATGTCTCATTGCTTCTGATCATAAATACTTCCATAAGACTCCCCTTCCCAAGCCCTGGTTCCACCGTTTTCTCACTTAAGGCCAATACTGTCCTCGCCCAGGGGTGGCCGGCGTCGGCAGGGGGCCCTCTGAGTATGGGATCTTCTTGTGAAGCCAGGGGGCAGCCAGAGGGCTCCATGCTCTCGCCTTCGACGCCGAATGAGCTGGAGAACAAGAAGAGCCCCAAGGACCAGGAGAAGCACCCCAGCCACTGGAGAGCACAACACAGGCCAAGGGAGCTGGTTGGCTGGTAGTGCTGGTGAGGAAAAAAAGAGTCACAAAGAAGGCTCTTCATAATAATGCTGGCTATTACTATAGGGCCTGTAGTAGGTGTAGTAACCTCTATGCCATAATTCCCTCATCTGTAAAATAAGGATAATATTTATACTCCTTTATGGGGTGATTAGACCTTTGATGAGATGGTTTGACTTAGTGACTGGGGTAATGGGGGTAGGTGTGTGAGAGACGATAAGGTGGCTCAGGATAGAGCAGGGTTCAGAGCTATTGTACATAGGGTCACTATGAGTTGCAAATGATTTGAAATAAGTTAATACCATAAAAAAACATAATGTAAAAGCATTGAGAGCTAGTAAACACAATATAAATGTTGAATGTCATTCTTTGATGGACTATGAACTTTGATACTGAGCTAATGGGATACTCTAATAGAGAAGATAAACTAGAGCCACAGTTTGTGAGATGGCAACGAGTGAGATTAGGGTAAAGTACTGAGGGAATACGAGGAAGGAGAGTGCAGTGTAAATGAGATCCAGTTAGAGAAAGAGGTGTCAGTAAGGTGTAGGGAGGGTAAAGCTATTTGACCTCCATTGCTGACCTGGGAACAAAGGTCAGGGCAATGGTAGAGAATCACCTACCAGTGTCTGGCCGGGACTGGGCAGCCAGGAGGGGTCCAGGCAACAGGGGCTCCAGGTCTCCAACTGCAGCAGTGGCTGCAAGGAATCGAAGCAGGAACCCTGGGTCCCAGGGACATTGGGATGTAGGTTCGTCAGGACCACAGTGGGACAAATCCACACCCATCACCACCACAAACCTGTGGGAGAGAGACCTCAGAGACCCATATGTTGATTCCCTGGTCCCCTTCTCTTCCTCCGCCCATTAAAACAAATGGTGGTTCTCTCTGCCCAGCTTTCTTACCCAGTACTGAAAGAATCAGACTCCTTGCCCAGGGGTGGTTTTGGAGGGGCTGCTGTCTCTTGTTGAGAAGGCTCTTGGGTTCCTCTCAGCTCCTCTTCAGCTTGGGGCCCAGGATAGGGATACACCATGTCTGTACCATCACTATCCTTCTTCACCCAGAGCCCCACCCTCAGGATCAGGGACAGCACCCGGGCCAGGGCAAGCAGCTGCTGGTCCAGGGCCTGGGGGCTCAGCACCACTAGCAGGGCCAGGGAGGGCCCCCACTTTGAGTCCCCAGCTTCAGGCCTGCAGTCACCCCCGTCCCAGCCACACTCAGCAGTGTTGCAGCCTTTCTCGCAGTGCCCATTGTGGAAGTGATCACGGCAGTACTGGTCGTAGGCTGGGCTATAGGGCAAGGAGAGGGTCATTCAGGAGGCTAAAGAAACCTGACATCTACCATCTCCAGGGCTTGGGGTGCTAAATGGGTGCAACTCTGCAGCAGTGGGTTTAATCAGGCCCTGTATGGTAGTAAGACACTAATGTCTACTGACATCCTTATTTCCTAAGATCATCTTTCCCCCTATTTCCTGCTCTTTCCTGGCTGCCTGCCACTCTACCTTTCTATGTCTTCTTGATCTTTCAGGGTACTGTCTCCTGAAAGGGAGTTCAGCCCCTTTCAGGCACCCTGCTTGCCAGAGGAGATAGTTCATGGTAACAGGATTTAGGATGTAAGTTTTAAGAACTGTGATCCCACAATTCTCAGAGAGGGAACCAGAAGTGGTACTTATTAAGATTCTTGGTCCCCACATTAGATATTGATGTATCCACCTTTATTCCACAAACCCTGAATTGGATTCCAGAGTCTTCTACCCAAATGGGAGAAGCATGGGTAATCTTCTGTGAGATTTACTGCCTCTGAAAACTTGATGGAGGGCTAGCTATGAGTCAGTTCTGACTTGGTGGCACAACAACAACATTACGGTGGAAAACTTGTTGGTAGCAGGGTTCCTGGGGCATGAAGCTTTGGTCACACTGTAACTAAGGTGTCTATGTGCTTCCTCCCACCTCAGTCAGGGTTTCAGGCTCACCTGCAGGCTGGAGGAGTCTCACAGTCATAGCCATCAAACAAACACTCTTCAGAGTCACACTGTGGATGGCACTGCCCATCACGGAAGAGCAGCCAGCACCGGGAGTGGGAGGGGCAGCCCTTCCAGGGGTCTGGGATCCCCAGGGAGCAGTCTCCACCATCCCAATTTCCTTCTGGGCCACTACAGCCAGTGTCACATGCCCCATCCCCACCTCTGCCCTCACATCCTTTGGCTCCTGGTCTCTGACACTGGGGCCCTGGAGAGCTGGGAGGGCAGGTACAGCGAAAGCCTGGGCCAGCCAACCCAGGAATCTCTGAGCAGCTGCCATTGTGTAGGCATGGGGATGGGGGGCCGCAGCCTCGAGGAGCAGGAGGGGTGAGGCAGTCTGGGCCCCCATAACCATTGAGGCAAGCGCAGCGAGGTGGGAGGCCAGGCTTTGGGGAGGGAAGACACAGTCCTCTGTGGTGGCAGTGATGGAGACCACAGGAGGGGACTTTGTGGCTGCAGGTGGAGCCTTCAAAACCCTGCAGAGGGGAGAAGAGATATTGGAGAGAATAATTTATTCTAATTATCCTAATGTCTTAGTTGAGAGCTCTGCTGGCCAAGTGGTAAGAAGCTGTACTGCAGTCCCAAAGGCACATGTTTCTAATCCACCAGCTGCTCCAAGGGAGAAGAATGGACAATTTCCTCTCTTGCAATTTACCGTCTCTGAAAACCTGCTGGAGGCTCAGCTATGGGTCAGTTTCAACTTGATAGAATACAATAATAATGTCCTAGTGGCAAGAAGCGGCACTGCAACTCCAAAGTTACACAATTCAGATCCACCAGCCAGTCCATGGGAGGAAGGTGGCACCCATGCCATTTACTGCCTCTGAAAACCCACTGGAAGGTCAGGTATGGGTTAATTCCGACTTGATGCCACACAACAATAGTGACAATCTTAAAGCAAACTCCTGGGTTACATTATCTCAGAGGAGCCCTGTCAAGAACGAACTTCATAGAACATCAAGTTTATAATTTTACAAATGGCGAAACTATGTCTCATGGCAGTTTCATACAATGGCATGTTACATAAAAGTGAAAATAGACGAACCATAACTGTATGCAAAGACCTGAATGAATTGTACCATTGTAATACAATCATCATCATACCTAGAGGACTACAAAAAGCTTGAAACTTCATAAGGTCATTGTTAAAATAGAACTTATTGCTGTCGAGTCAGAACCGACCCAGAGCTGACCCTCCAGCAGGTTTTTCCAAAGTTGTAAATCACACAGGAGGAGACCACCCATCTTTCTCCTGCACAGCAGCTGGTGGATTCAAACAGACTGCCTTTGGCTTGACAGCACAACTCCTTACCCACTAGGCTTTTTTTCTTTTGTGTGCATGTATAATTATATACATACATACAAATATATGTATGACCTTACCTCACCTGTTGACATCCAGTCAATTCCAACACATAAGACCTGATAGCATGGGGTAGAACTGAATTTCTAAAGCTGTAATTCATTACAGAAGCAGTTTGTCACATCTTTCTCTGATGCAGCAGCTGGTAAGTTTGAACTATCAATATTTCAATTCACTGGGGCTTCCGTTGTTTTTGTGTGCCATTGAGTCAGAACCAACCCATAGCTGACCCTCCAGAGGGTTCTCAGAGGTGGTAATTGCCCAGGAGATAGTCCATCCTTCTCCCGCAGAACAGCTGGTAAATTTGAACTGCGTGCCTTTGGGACTACAGTGCAGCTTTTTACCACTAGCCACCAGACCTCCTTCAGGGTATATATATATGATTTCAGTGGCAGTAAATCTCATGGGAAGAGATTGCCCATCTTCTGCAGAGCAGCTGGTGAATTCTGCTGGAGAACCAAGTGTCTTTTGGGTCAGCAGCACAACTCTTTACCACTAAGCCAGCATAACTTATAGATAGATATATATTTCCTGAAAACACACACACACACACACACACACAAACACACACACATTTATACACATGCATTCATGCTCATTCTTTCTCTGGAGGAAGATTAGGAAGGAGGAGACTCAAATTACATAGTTACAAATTGTTATTATAATTTTTAGGTTTATAAATTAAGAAAATCTGCTGTCAGGGACCTCTCCAGAGTGCAAAAGAGCAATAATGTCATTCTAGAGACTAAAGTGTACCTGATCTAGGCCATGGTCTTCACAATTATTTGCTGTGCATCAGAGAGCTAGACAACGACTAAGAATGACAGAGGAAGAGTGGATGCCTTTGAGTTGTAGTGCTGGAGAAGAGTATTGAACATACCATAGACTGTCAACAAACAGATCTGTCCTGGAAAGGATGAAACCAAGTTGCTCTGTGGAGGCAAGGGTTTTCAAGTTTCACCTCACGTATTTTAGGCATGTGGCCAGGAAGGACTGGTTCTTGGAGAAGGACATCATGTTTGGAAGGGTGGAGGGATTGCACAGGAGAGGAAGACCCAGAATGAGATGGATTGATACAGAACTGGGATAATGGGCATAAGTGTGTTGGAATCAGTGAGACTGGCTCAAGATAGGGCAGGGTTCAGAACTATTGTGCATAGAGTTGCTATGAGTAACAGGCGATTTGATGGCACACAACAACGACAACAACAGTATGAAGTTATTAAATTAATTTTTATAAAGACCTAGAGTAGTGAGAGAAGATCTTCACCCTGAAACCCACAGCGTCCCTTTTCAGCAGGAAGTAGCTAAGAGAATACGCCGTCCCCTTTTCCTTATGACTCAGGGTGAAGTCTCTCTCAGGGAGGAGTGATAGGGAATGGCAAAGGATACACTGACAAAGAAGATTAATCAGAACTGGCTTTGACAAGCACTGTGGCATTTGGACAAGAACAAACTGGGAGGAGGGTAAAGAGAATAGTGCAACAATGAATGAGTGGAAGCCCAAAATCTCTGTAAATGTTTATGAAAATTAATAAAATATAATTATAGAAAAAAAATTTTTATAAAGACCATGTATAAACAAATGATTTTAGTGTATAATGAACCAAAGTTTTGGATTAATTTAGTTCTAATATCTGAGGTCTATTAAATACACACATATACACAACTAAGAGAATTTTCCCAAGACCATTCAGCTTGCCCTGGAGACCTCTTGGACTTTTCATAGGCAATACTGATGATTTCTGAAAATTCTACTTGTGTACCTATATGATTCTGCTTTATCCCCTGAGTGATTTGAGAACCACTCACCACTGAACTTGAGATGACTTTCTCCAGTAATTCTCACTCTAGCGCTCCCTTGGGCTTCCTCTTGGGATCAGTGTGTGTGTGTTTTATAATTGCATAAGTGTTTTGGGCAACAGAGAAGGGAGATTCGTGATTACTCACCATAGGACAGTGGCAGGTGAAACCCAGGGGTGGTCCTGCTGTGGTCTCACAGGACCCTCCATGGGAACAGGGCTGGCTGTGGCAGGGGTCTATCTCCACTTCACACAACTGGCCTGGTGGATAGAGTGATGGGGGTGAGACTGGACCTCATGCATTACTTCAGTCACTGCCCCTCCTACCTCATTCCTGGGAGTCAGCCCAATATTAGGTATGCAGGTAAGGGGATCCTGGCTTGGCTTTTCTGGGATGGAGAAGGTGATAGAGGCATGGACAAGATGAGTAGGCTGCCCCAGGAGTGTAATTGTCTAGATTTCCATGTCTTGCTCAGCTCTGCTGAAGAGATGCCTCCATTTCCCTCACCTGTGTGTCCAGGCAGACACTGGCAATAGAAGGCATTGGCTAGAGGATGACAGGCTGCAGTTCCTGTGGGGTGGCAGGGCCGGTCCAGACACTCATCCACGTCCCCCTCACAGCGCAGCCCCACAAAGCCAGGAGGGCAGGAGCAGTAGAAGCCCCCAGGTTTGGGAGTGCAGGTTCCATGGTTGTGACAGGGTTGGGACTGACATGCGTCAGGTTCCTTTGAGCAGTTCTGTCCGCTGTAGCCTAAAACACACTGCGGACAAATAGGGTCAGATGAGAAATCAGTAGATGAGCCCAGCCTAGCATTACATGGGCCCTAACTCAATATGGTCTGCTCAGCCCTCACCTTCCAGTTCAACCCACCACCAACCAAGACCCTTCTATCTTGTGCTATAATGAATTATTCAGTATAGCTTTTCTAATTATTGGCTCTGATTTTCACCATATGGCTGCATAGAAGGTGAGGTGTTTACGGTCCCTCAAGGGGATAGATAGCTTGCTATTAATGGAAATAAGATAAATAGCGCCTTTTGGGATATTGTTAGAAGCCATTAAGTCAACTACTACTTACAGCAAACCTATGAACAACAAATCTGAACTTTCCCCCCGTTCTGGGCCATCTACATCATCTTTTATGTACTTGAGCCTGTTGTTATAGTCATGCTACCAATCCATCTTATTGGGGGTCTTCCTCTCTTTCTTCAGAACCTCCATCTTCCTAGCATGGTATCTTTTCCCAAGGATTGACCCTTCCTAACAATATACCCACAAGTATGTGAAACAAAGTTCTCCCCTCTAAGGAGAACCCTTGTTGCACTTTCTCCAACACATATTTGGTTGTTCTTTTGTCAGTTCATGGGATAGTCAGTATTTTTCTTCAACACCACCACTCAAAGGCATTACTCTACTGTAATTTTTATTCATTGTCCAACTTTAAGATGCAAAGGAAATGATTGAAAATACCACGGCTTGGGTCAAGTGAACCTTAGTCTTTAAACCGACAACACAGCTGTTTAGCACTTTGGAGTGGTCATTGACAGCAGATTTTCCCAATGCCACATGTTTTTGCTTCCCACCCCCCCCCTTAATTTCTTAACTGCTGGTACTTAGGATGTTGATTGTGGATCCAAGTAAGTTAAAATCATTGCCAATTTCAGTCTTTTCTCCATTTATCATGATTTTGCCTATTGGTCGAGTTGTGATAATTTTTCTTTTCTTTTTCCCCCCATATTGTTGTGTACCATTGAATCAGACACGACTGGCACACGAGGAGATTGCCCCTCATCCTCCAGTGGAGAACTGGGTAGATTTGAACCATGTGCCTTTGGGATTGCAGCACAGCTTCTTGCCATTTGGCCACCAGAGCTCCCTGAATTTTATTTTCTTGATGTTGAGGTGTAATACATATTGAAGGCTGTAGTCTTTAATCTTTTGCAGCAAACAATTCAACTCCTACTCACCTTCAGCAAGTGATGCTGTGTAATCTGTACAATGCAGGATGTTGATGAGTCTTCCTCCAAACCTAATGCCATATTCTTTTGTATACAGTCCAGCTTCTTAAATGATTTGCTGAACATGCAGATTTACTAAGTGTGGAGAAAAGACATACCCCAACACATATTTCTTTAATTTAAACCATACAGTGTTCCCTTGTTCAGAAAACAGCTTCTTGTCTCTGTGTAGGTTTCGCATGAGCACAACCAAGTGTTCTGTGATTCCCAGCTATAATTTGTTATGATCCATATGGTTAAATGCCTTTGCATAGTTAAATAAACCTGTAAACCTCCTTCTGGTATTCTTTGCTTTAATCCAAGATCTGTCTGATATCAGTGCCATGGTGCCTGGTGCCATGGTTTTTCTATAGCCAACCTGAATTATGGCAGTTCCCTGTCAATTTACTGTTCTAGCCATTTTAAAATAAGCTACAGCAAGATTTTACTTGCATATGTTTTTAATGACATTGTTCTATAATTTTCATATTCTGTTGGAATATTTATTTTTTTTTTAAATGGGAATAAATATGTATTTCTTTCAGTCAGTTGGTTAGGTAGATGTCTTCCAAATTTTTTGGCATAGACTGACAAGTACCTTTAGGGTGGAAACATACAACCTTTTGGGTTGTTGTTACGTGTCATCGAGTTGACCACAACTCATAGTGACCCTATTAACAATAGCTTTGAGCTCTGCTCTATCTTGGGCCAATCTTACTGTCTCTGACACACATGCCCCCATTGCCACAGTCACTGTGTCAATCCACCTTATCCAGAGCCTCCTCTCCTGTGCCTACCCTTTACTCTTCCAAGCATGATGTCCCTCTCCAAGGACATTTTGTGTAGGAATATGCAAATAAAGTAAGTGGATCACTAAAGTGGAGATTGGCCCATTTTACCATACCTTCACTCTTTGGTCCAATCCAGAGGAAGAAAAAGGGAGAAATCTCACTATCATCAAGAAAGAAGAAGCAGAGAGTGCAACACCTCCTTTGTGTCAGAGATTCCTTCCAGAAATGGAGCAGAATCAAGACATGGCAGCAATGACAGCAGCAACGGAGATGGGAGAGTACCACAGAAGAGACAGCAGAGAACCAGAAACTGGTGTGAGACAGAGATAAACAAGATGTGCCACCCCATGGAATCAGAACCAAACATCTTAGCCTAGGTTTCCAGGCAGAGTTGGGGTCTGGGATGTGCATAATTAGAACTAAAAGGGCTTTATAACACAGACTAGAACTGCAAGGCCAAAAGTCAGAGAGAGGCCTGCCTGCAAGTGAGAAGCTGGCCTGACTGAAGAATTGTAACCTGTTCCTTTCCTAATAAACCCCACAATTGTGAGTATCGTTTGTGAGTTCTGTGTGGTCATTGTAATTAATGGCTTATCAATCTTAGTGGTGGAGTAATGAGAGGTGTGGGAGCAAAGGTGAGTGCTAGAATTGATGGAAGGCTTGGGAGCATGGGGGTATGCCTGACCTCACAGAAATGAGTTTTGTGTTCTTGGTGTTGTTGTTGATGGAGATTATTCCGCTTTGAGTTACTGGAGATCAGACTTGGCCACCCCTCATGCCAGCTGAGCTGTTCTTCCATACATGTATGCTCCTTATGATACACAATTGTTCGATAAAACATACATAACCCCTCCCCAGTTCCAAATAATCTCTATGACACATTACTAATAAAGTTAATTTCATTTTTACAAAATCACCTTTTCTTTGTCCACACACGTAGGAGGCTCTTTCATAAGTAGTGAGTGCCTACTTTGTGCCAAGCAGTATTCTGGACATGAAGAATGTATAGAAGATTAAAACCTAATCCTGCTTTCCTGACGCTCTCAGTCAACCAGAGGAGAGAGACAGCTAACATTTATTGCATGATTTATATACATAACATCACATAACTCCCCTAGACAAATTTCTATGAGACTATTATTTGTTCCTTACTTTATAGATAAAGTGATTAAGATACCAAAACCCCCCCCCCAAGCCCCTTAAACCAACCATAAGTGACTTGCTCAGGCCACATAAGCTAGTAGGTTGCAGAGCTAGGATTCAGTGCAGACCTGTGACTCTCAGAGAATTGTCAAGGAAGCAGACTGCCTCGTCTTTTCCCATGTAATGTCTGGTGGGTACAAACTACCAACCTTGACACTTAACCATTATAGTACTAGGGTCCCTACATAACTTGCTTTATATCATAATGCTAATGAGATAAGCATCGGTGAAGAAGTCTATACCATGTACTGAGTTCTTACAAGAAGGAAAACACTTAAGCATGAAAGAACCACGAAGACTTCAAAGACAGGACATTGGATTACATGCGAGAAAACAGAATTCACAAAGGTATCTAAGAAATTACCATGAGGTACCTACAACCCAGCCTGCCTTTCACCCCCACCTCTTCCCTCTAGACCCTCTCACCTGGCAAAGATATCCACTGGGCTGAACCACACAGGTGGCTCCGTGCTGGCAGGGCTTGGCCTCACATGGGTTCACTGTGTTCTGGCACAAGCTGCCTTGGAATCCAGAGGGGCATTGGCAGAAATAAGAGGAGCCACTGTCGATGCAGAGACCTCCATTCTGGCACAAGGAGGAGACATCTATGCCTAGGGAGAGAGATGGACAGGGATAGATGAAGCTAAGGGGAGTAGAATGATGCACAGGACCCCAGACACTGAGCAGAGAGGCCTTTACCTTCAGCATTACTAATATTCCTGAGGTAGGTAGAAGCTACTTCTGAGACCGAAGAGCTTAGAACATCAAATTCCTCCTCTGGCCTTTTCAGCCAAGAGTGTATACTTCTTGAGCTATCAAAAGGTTATAAATGACCATTTTCTCATTTTAAAACAAGTCTCAAAGGCAGAAAGAACTGGAGGGAAACTTTAGGCAGGCATGTGAGGGTTAACTAGTGGTTTAAGTCTGTCCCCTGTGTTTCGTACCCTCCTTTGTCCTCTCACTGTGATTCCAATCAACCATCACTTGCTGCTAAAGTAAAAGTTGAGCTTCTCTGGCAGTTCTAACTCACCATTGACTTCCCAGGAGAAATATAGGCAAATCTCCTCCCATGAGATTTACAGTCTCATAAACCCCCCTTCATAGTCAGCTATGAGTTGGTTCCCACTCAATGGCCATGAGTGAGTTTAGTTGGTTAAAAAAAAATTCTTTAACCAGAGGGTTGTATAACAGCAGAATGAATGAGTTTGAGTGGATTGAGTGTAACTGTGTTAAGTGTAACTTGTTCCGAGTTATAATAATAATGATAGGGTTAAGTTGCTTCATATTGAATTGTACCCCCGGTGATTCTATTAAACTAGAGTCTTATTAATGTCACTGGTTGGTGATGCTTGAGTTGGTGACATGGATTGAGCTGTGCTAGGCGAAACTGGGTGTTCAGCTGTAGAATTCGTATCTGTGGGGGACTTGTGTTGTTTTGAACCTCAACAGGTTGTTTTGGCCAAAGCTTGAGTCTGGATACTCTTAGAGAAATGACCTTTCCTCTCATTTATCATTTCCCCAACCAGTCCTTGTAGGTGGTACCTTGGCTCAGAGCAGCCCTTTGGCAGGAAGACAATGGAAGGTCACAGAGAGGCCCAGTCCATCCTTGGGGGCACAGGCACTGAAAGGAGGGTCCAGTTTGGCGGCAGTGGGCATTGGGTGGACAGGGCTTCTGAGCACATAAATCCATGAGGGTCTAAGGGGTGGGCATGGAGAACATTCAACAGGACACAGCATCAGATAAGCAGGTCCAGAGATGGTCTTCTGTTAAACTCTAGTTTATCAAAATTCCTTTCCTCTAAACTCTTCTGAGTTGTCTGAGACCAGGTGACTCTACTTAGTTTCCTTTGATATCTACAGTCTAGATCAGGCTCTGGGGCCAGAATTCCCATCAGTCCTTCCTTTTTGACTCAATACGAACCTCAAACTAGATCCCAACTCCTAGACTTCCACGTGCCCCTTCATTTGTTCTTCTCAGCTTTTGCCTTCTGTTGAGTCTCTGTTAGACCTCTTGCTAGAGTTCGCCAGTTACCTTGGCACATCCAGCACAATACCTCTTACCTGACAGCTGCCTCCTGTGTAGCCAAGGGGACAGATGCAGTGGGGACCCTGAGGGCTATCTTGACAGGTTGCCTTGTTCCTACAAGGGCTGGAAAAGACAGAGGGAAAGTACAGTAGAAGGAGTTTTGGGAAACAAGGGGGAGGAAGTGTGTGATGTTGTAGGGTGTCAACTATGGGGGAAACTAGAAACCAGGGAAGAAGGTCAAAGGAAGGCTTCGGGGATGTGGGATGGGCAGATAGAGAGGAAAAGCAGGGAGCTGGTGAATCTCCATGCCTTCCTGTAGCACTCTCACCTGTCTGCACAGCTAGGGCGGATCCTCCCTTCACAGCGTGGGCCCTGGAAGCCGGAGGCACAGAGGCAGGAGGCAGTGCCAGGCCTGTTCACACAGGTACCCCCATTGAGGCACGGGGCTGGAGAGAGGAGGCTGTGAGGGGTTGGGTTCCTGGCCTGTAACCTGGTCTGTGACCTGAGTCACACCCCAGGGTATACATGCTTCCATCAGAACAACAGCTCACTGCCACTTAATTACTTTTGACGTGATACAGTTCCACCCTGGGCAGCCTTTCTATTCCCCTGTGATTTGGTCTCTGTACATGATGGGCACTCACCATAGGCACAGTGGTCAGTTTTGGTCTGGCAGTGAAACCCTGTGTGGCTTGGGGGGCAAGTGCAGGAATAGCCCCCAGGGGTGGGACTGCAGGAGCCGCCATTGAGACAGGGCCCAGAGTGACATGCTGTCACCTCCTCACTGCAGGTGGGTCCTAAGGGAGACAGGTGGGACCTGTGCAAGGGAATCTTCCTTTTCTTCTTCCTTAAATCACTTCTTCTTTCCTTTCCTTCTCCTGCCTCATCTCCATTCTTTTTATTCCCTGTTTCTTTTCTTCCTTCCTATCTCCCACACATCTCCTGTGTCCCAAACAGTCCATGTCCAGTTCTCCTTGGTGGTGAATAAGACCTAGAGGCCTTGGACATATGTCTCCATTGCCTTTGATGTTGACTTAGGGGATGACCAGCCCAGGATGTGTTTAGAGAAGACTTTACCTGTGTAACCTGTGGGGCAGGTGCAATTGTAGCCAGAGGGCTTAGGGGAGCAGGTTCCCCCATGGGCACAAGGCATGGAGATGCAGCCCCCCAGCTCTGTCTCACACTCCGGCCCTGTCCAGCCCATGTCACACACACAGGAGGACCTGGTCATAAAACAAAGAGAAGACACTTGCTTTATCTTTCTAATAGATGATTTCCTCTTCCCATTGGATGGGACACACACACACACACACACACACACACTCCAACTATGTATCTGTAACTCCATTTCCTATCTTATGTATTTTTTTATTTTCTTAGAATGAAAGTTTCATGAGGGAAAGGCACTTTGTATCTTTTGTTCTCTCCTGTTCCCCCAGTGCTTGGAATAGCACCCACACATTGTAGATGTTCAATCAGTTTGTGTCTAATGAATGATGGGTTGGTTGGCTTTTGGACTTCATGCTTCTTTCTGCTCAGAGCACCTCCCTCAAGTCCTCTACTTTCCCTCATTTTTTTCCCCTTCTTTTCTCTCTCTCTCTCTCTCTCTCTCTCATTATTTATGAGTTTTTAATTCTTTGGGTGAACACTTAACAGTGTAACATTTTAATTGACTGTGACTTAATCTCTTCCCTGTTTACCACTGAGCCCTTTCTCATTGACCCTCTCCTCACTGGCCGTGCTATCCTACCCCAGTGGAAGAGGACCAAGAGGAAGGCGAAGAGCCTGGGAACTGTTACCTCTGACAGTGTCCATGATGGCAGGTGCAGTTGTCCTCAGCAGGAGCACAGCCAGGGCTCCCATCAGGGCAGAGGCAGTGGGCCTTGTTCTCCTGATCTTGGCATTCTTGCTTGCTCTGGCACAAATTTGAGGCACACAGGGGGACCTCACAAAACTGGCCTGGATAAAGAGAAATTGGTCAGAAAGAAAACATAATCCCTCTAAATCGTTGATGGTGCCAAGATGGGTGCAATCCTTGATGAACCGCCCTTCAGTGGCTCTAGTATGCCTTCACTATCTGAATCCCCTAGAAGGATGCCCAGGGTCCTGCATGGTATACACTTTCTACAACTGTTGCATTTCTCATCTTGGCTCTGGGTTAAGGCTTTCTTAAATGGATGACCATTTTTTTTTCTTTTTTTCATGTACAATTATCTCCAGCTAAAACATTGTCTTACATTCTAGTTTGCAAAACTCCTAGTCATCCTTCAGGATTCACATTATCCATTACCTCCTTCAGGAAAGCATTCCTGACTATGGTGATCCTTTGTGCTTCCAGAGGATCCTGTGCATTTCTCTCTAAGAACGCTTCTAGGGGCTATATCATTGGTTTACATGTTACTCTTTTCTCACTAGATTCAAAGCCACTTGAGGATAATAACTGTCTCATTCAACTGGGGGTCTGTAACAGTATGATGTCTGACATAATAAACCCATTGCCACCAAGACAACTTTGACTCATAGCAACCGTCTAGAACAGAGTGTAACTCCCCCAAAGGGTCTCTAAGACTGAAATCTTTACAGAATCATGCTCACACCTTTCTTTCAAAGAGTAACTGGACACTTCATTTTGTTGTTGTTTTGTGCTGTCGTATTGATTCTGATTCATAGAGAGGAGAATGATCTTATTAAGTTTCCAAGGCTTTCTAGGAGCAGATTGCAGCTGAGTTTGAACCACCAACCTTTTGGTTAGCAGATGGGTATATAATTTTGTTAGAAAACATTCACTCTGACATAGTAGGCACTTAAAAAATGTCTGCTATCTGAACATTGACTAAATTCTTACTTCAAGAGAACGGATGTAAACGCATTGAGAATACCTCCTGGTACATAGGAATCCATACTTAGAAAGAGTTAATTGCTTTTCTTGAAAAGATCTTATCAGTTTTGTGGTTTAGTGGTTATATAATGTGTTGGGGTTGCTGGGGCAGACCTTGGGAGTCTAGTTAAATATTCCTAGCCTCATTCTTGTAATTTTAGAAGTCACTGCAAAGTAATATTAATGCTATAAGAGACTTAAGCAAATTGTCAATGGTTGCTGTTAGGTGTTGTCTAGGTGCCTATATTTGTATCCATCCTTTGTAAATCAGAACAGATCACTGCTCAATGTTGCATCATCCTCACAACCTCTGTTCTGTACTTAAACCCATGTTGCAGTCATTGTATTAGTTCATTTCTTTAAGGATCTTCCTCTCATTCACTAGTCCTCTACTTTTCCAAGCATTATGTCCTTTTCCAAGGACTGGCCTTTCCTGATAGACTGTCCAAAGTATATTACTGAGACAAAGTCTCCACTGTCCTTGCTTTTAAGTAGCACTCTGGCTTCCCTTCTTCAAGTTTGGCATTCCATGGTACAGGCAATATTCTTTGCTAAGACCACAATTGAAAGACATCAGTTCTTCTTTAGTCTTCCTTATTCATTGTCTAACTTTCTTTTTTTTTTTAAATAACACCTAAAGTTTATTAGATGACAGCACACACAGGAAACGCAATTAAATAGTCGAGGAGCCTACTATCCGTTCCCAAAGGGATCATCCTAAGAATTGAGACCCAAGAGGCGAACCCCGGCAAAGGCCTGGTCTGCCGGCGGCAAAGGCCTGGTCTGCCGGCGTGTCGCTCGCGGTTAAAAGGGCTGCCTGCAGCGGGCTGGGGCCCCAGTTATGCGCAAACTCATGCTCTTGCGCAGCAGCGTAAATCATTGTCTAACTTTCATAAGCAAATGAAGCAATTAAAAATACCGTGACTTAGGTCAGGTAAAAAAAAAGTCTGCTAAATAAACAAATGAACAGTTTTTTTCTCTTGTGCTCCATTTTCTACTCCTCAGCCCTAATTACACCATTCATGTTGGACCCACCATAAGTCCTATAATAACATCTACCCTTTTGCTTTTGGTTTTATGGTTGTGTAGTTTTTACATTAAATAACTCTGAAAGGTACTATTCTCATTTCTGCATCACATTTCAACTCTCAAGCACCCAATAAAGACCTCTCCAAACTCGAATAGACTCAAGGCTCAGCCAGTCATTTCTAACACTTCTACTTACCAGTGAGATCAGAGGGGCAGAGGCAAGAGAAGGATCCTTGGAGATCAAGGCAGCTGGCACCAGTAGGGCATGGGTCACTCAGACACTCATCCACTTCTGTCTCACAGCGTGAGCCTTCGAAGCCTATGACATAGCAGGTTGCTCAAGAACCTGCATAGATATCTGCCCCACCCGTGTCCTCATTGTGTCGGAGGCCCAGTTTACCTGGGAGACACTTGCAATGGAAGGCTCCAGTCTGGTCCTGGCACTGTCCACCATTGACACAGGGAGAGCTTCTGCACTCGTCAATGTCTTCCTCACATTGTGTGCCAGTGAATCCTAATGGGGCAGTGAGTTGTGGGGAATGAAGGCAAAAGTCTTTGAGAGAGATACAAGGAAACCTTGACCTGGGTCAGGAAAGATGAACTTAGAGGGCTTTTCAGAGGAGATCGATGGACAGATTGCGGTGGGTGTGACTAGAGGGTGATGCAGAAAAGTCAGCTACCTGCTAACTATATGACTGCATTTTCTCTTCTGTTAAAGGAGAGTAATAATGGCACTTGTCTCATGGTACAGTTGAAGGGATTAAACGAGACAATGTCTGACATGAACGCAGCCAAGTACCTGGCCTACAGTAAATACTCAACGAATGTTAGTTGTTATTCTAGCAGGAAATAGGAGTGTTTGATGATACTGGAGGAAAAAGGCCTGAGGCTGTGTCCCTGTGTCCGAGGGGCACAGTGCCAACACCAGTCCGGAAACCCACACTTACAGGGAGGGTACACAGAGGACTTGCAGGAGGATTGGAAAAGAGGCATATGTGGGTAATGTGGCAGGAATAGAGACAAGGTGGGTGGATAAGCAAGGTAAGATTTGGGAGACATAACAGAGAAGAGCTGGAGAGCAGAGAAAGGGCTGGTGAAATGAGCAGAGACAGATTAAAAAAGTTTTGTTTGGGAAGAAGAGTATAGAACAAAATCCGGATTGCTAAAAAAGGCCAGACTGATTGTACCAACAGAAATGAGAGGAACTTTTAAGAGCATCACCTTAAAATACCCTTTAAACTTAGCACTAAGGCTACTCCTGGAGATTATCTCAGCAAATTTTAGACTGACTTATAAAATAAACAATGTCACCTATAAGGACTGTGCTCTCTTAAACAATCAACTGTATGAGAACAAATGACCAACATTTACCAGGCAAAGAAGGAAAGGGAAGCTACATGAAAGGAAACAAAACAAACAGAAGGGAAATGCGGTCATACATCCCATAATGTCTGCTCAGACAATTTCTGGCATTGAGCAACAACAACAAATTATCTACCTGCCTCTCTTTTTTATCTATCTATAAGTGAGGTTTTGGATGATAGCTGGTTCAATTCTGGAGGTTCATAAACCTGAGGGTCTCAGGTACTGGAATGGAAATGTTGTACCCACCGGGCAGGCAGACACACAGGAAGCCATTGCGCAGATCATGACACTCAGCATGGTTCAAACAAGGAGCAGAGGCACAGTCATCCATCTCCACCTCACAGAGCTTCCCTTCCAAGCCTGAGGAAACAGGTATGCATGTGGTATCAGGCCAGCCAGGTTAGCTCTGTCTGGGCTGCTCCCATTCTACCTAGGAGATTCAAGTTCTGGAAGGAGCCCTGATGTGCTTCCATCAGCCAGCTCTTCCTGGGTGAGGCTGACCTGCGGGTAGGAGGAATTGATTTCTGAAGCCCTGCTTCTTGCAGTCTGTGCCTCTGGCTCCTTCAAATGTACAAGTCCAAGGAGCAGAGCACCTGCTTGGAGCCTGTGGGAGATCTGCTAGACAGTTCCCTTTGGAGGCCACGTCTGTGTGAAGGAAGGTAGGGCTCACCCCGATGACCGAGCAACCTACATAGTCCTACTTGAAACCAATGAATAGCAATCTTAAGGGTAATTCTTCTCTCTTGATGCTGGGGAGACCAGAAATCCCAAATTGAGATTTCAGGGGCATTTAAAAAGCTGCTTCCATATTTGTTCTGCTTCTTTGGGCTGGTTCTGGTCTCCATTGCCACACCCTGAGGCTAGATCAGACTTTACTGCCTCTCTTTTTTCACCAGAGGAACCTGCTTTTGAAGCTCCTTGCTAGTCAGGATCTACTCCTGTGGAGGACTATGGCCTGGAAGCTGTGCTGTTATTCCAAAGGCACGCAGTTTGAGTCCACCAGTTGTTCCATGGGAGAAGGATGGGCAATCTCCTCCTATGACATTAACTGGCCTTGAAAACCTCCTGGAGGGTCAGCTATGGCTTGGTTCTGACTCGATGGTATACAACAACAACAAAAATAGGGATGGCTTGAACCACTTATTCTTAGCTTTTCAGCTTAGAAAGTGGGGTTATATAGTGATTACAGCTACTGAATCCTGGCTTTGTCACTTACTAGCTGAGTTAGCCTTTCTGTGTGTTAGTAACAATGCTGACCTGGTGGGTTTATTGTAAAGGTTATTGTTGGAGGCATTGAGTGGATTCCAACTCATAGTCTGCCTCATGCAACAAAGCAAAACTTCCCCATAGGGCTTCTTGGCTGTAGTCTTTATGAAAGGAGCCCTATTAGTGCTAGAGAGTTATATGTTGCACTACTAACCAAAGTTAACAGGTCGAACCCACCAACATCCACAGAAGTGGAATATGAGCAGTCTCCTTCTGTGAAGATTTACAGTTTGGGAGTCCTGATGCAAGATTGTCATGAGTGGGAACTGACTCGGCAGCAATGGGTTTGGTTTTTTGGTTTGTTTTGAATCTTCGTGGGCCAGGTTTTCCCCCTACGGAATCACTGAGGCAGCAACTTTTTGGTTAGCAGCCAAGTGTTTAACTATTGTTCCATCAGGGTGCCTTATTGTAAAGATTAGATGAGATAATGTCTGGCACATGGTAAGCTATTATTTTGCTGGCTTTACTCAGCTGCCTAACACTTGCCCTGGTGCCCTCTCCCTTAAGCAATTATTCTCTGCTGTAAACTCGCTTGGAAGTAGGTACAGCTTCACAGTTCTCCTTTTCTGCTTCACTAAATCAAGTACGCAGGCCTTTGGGGTTCTTAGGGTTTACTTTCATTCACTACTTGGGAGTGTTTCTGTGTTTAGGGAAAATGGTCCAGGTTGGCATAGCACATAAAGTTTATTAGCTGCAGTCTTGCTCTGCGTCCATGGGCGCCTCTGTGCATAGAGGATCAGATCACAAGCTCTGTGAAATGAATGGCGCCCCCTAGAGCCGAGCAGCGAGCAACTTCACTATCGTCTATGGCAGCCCTTCTAGGGTTCATGGTATCTCAGAAATTTCATGGTGTGTGAGAGGTGAGGGTGATGGGGTGGGGGGAGAGGACAAGGGGGTGGAAGAGGAACAGAAGTAGCTTTTGACATCTGACTCCAGCAGACCTGAGGCTGTCTTTGCTCAGTGAGGTAAGGGTCTGTTCCATGTCCCTACCCCCAAGGTCGCGTCGAGCTGGTACCTGGTGGGCAGAGGCAGTGGAAAGTGGCAAACAGTTCCAGGCAGGTGCTGCCCGGGTGGCAGGGCTGGGACAGGCACGCATTGTGATTGGCCTCACAGCGGGAACCGGTGTAGCCAGGTGGACAGAGACAGTCGAAGGAGCCGGGGGTGTTGAGGCAGGAGCCACCATGTTCACAGGGGCTGGGGCCTTGCTGGGCTGGAAGGAGAGAAGAGCTGGCAGTCAGGAAAGCCATTAGTCAGGGTTTGTACCTTTAAGACGGAATAAGACTAAGGGGGTAAATCCATGGAGTCTAGAGGGTTGGGCATTGATGAAGAGAAACCAAATCTGGAAAAATTCAAGAAATAGAGATTTCTCTGACTTGTTTCTGTCTGAGTGCGGAGGCCTGTCTGAAGCTTTATTGAAGTTTTGCTGTGTGATGTCTCACCCATCTGACACTCGTCCACGTCCTGGTGGCAGGTGGGCCCTGAGTAGCCAGGCTGACACAGGCAGAGGGTGGAGCCTGTCAGCGGGTTGGTGCTGCACTGGGCTTCCTCATGGCATGGCTGGCTCAGACACATGTCTTCCAGGTGACACAGCAGACCTTTGGGGAGTGGGGGATAGGAGGAGCTGAGGCTTTCTGAAGCCTGCTAAGGCCTTCAGGTGCTTCTTTCATCTTCCATCTCCACCTCCAATCCCTGCTACTCTTTGCTGCCCCACACCTGTGCGGCCAGGTGGGCAGAGGCAGGAGAAGAAGCCCACGCGGTCAATACAGGTGGATCCTGGGGCACAGGTGGCGGTGACACAGTCGTCCAGGTTCTCTTCACAGCCTGTGCCTCCCCAGCCACTTACACACACACAGTGGAAGCTGCCAGCTGAGTTCTGACAGGTACCCCCATTTTTGCAGTGAGGGGGACCGTGAGCCTCACACTCATCCACGTCTTCAGAGCAATCCCAGCCTGCAGAGGGGTGGGAGGAGGACAAGGGCTGAGGCTGTGAATTGGTGAGGGAAGAGGCCAGGCACCAGCTATCTGGGTCATGGGTACCTTGAACTTGCCTTAAACCACTCACCTGTCCAGGTCTCTGGGCAGAGGCAGGTATAGGTGCTCAGCCCATCCTGGCAAGTACCCCCATTCTGACACTGGTGCCCGACACAGTCATCTGGATTCACTTCACAGTCTGGGCCTGTGAAACCTGACAGAGGCCTGGGATTGGCTAGCGGTCCTAAGGAAGAGGGCCCTCCCTCCCAGAGAAAGGGGTTACAGACAGTTTCTTGTGAGGATGTACCTGGAGGACAGAGGCAAATGTGGAAGGTGGAGTCTCCTGGCACCAGTTGACAGGTCCCCCCATTGGGACAATCGCTAGAGGGACAAGGTCCTGCCTGGAGCCCACAGTGAGGACCCACAAGCCCAGTGGGGCAGACACACTGGAAGGAGCCCAGGGTGTTATAGCAGAAGGTGCCCTTGGGGCAGAGTCCTGGGTCCAAGAAGCACTCGTTGATGTCGTGTTCGCAGGCATGGCCCTCAAAGCCAGGTGGGCAGCGGCACTGGATCTGGGGGTATGTGGCCAGACATACCCCTCCATTGACACAGGGGTTGGCTGAGCAGAAGTCTCGTAGTTGGCACCGCTCACCTGTGGCAGGGTAGAGGGGGTGTTTCTGATACATTCCAGCTCACACATACCCCCTGTTGGGGACTGCTTCCATTTCCAAGCATTTTCTCACCTATGTGGCTTTTGCTTCCTGGTCCAGCCCCTTCCATCCTGACTGGATTCCCTGGACCCCTCCTCTCCAGAGCCTCATAGCTCTATCCCTACACCCCTGCCCACTTCCTCAGGACAGCCCATATTCCCTATGCTACCCTGACACCCCTCCTTCTGCAATGGGCTATAGTCCTCTTTCTGGGTCAGGCCCATGATGCCTCCACTATGGCTCTCATCCATAGGAGGTTTCCCAAGTGATAAGGAAACTCTATGAACTTGGAGAAACGATAATAGTTATAGAAAGGCATCAGGTCTTTTGTTCATAGAGTCGCTATGAGTCGTGCTCGACTGGATAGCAATCAACTACCACCACCACCACCACCATCACCACCATTCAGAATAGGAGCCATTCAGATGCTCAGAACACAGGGTCCCAGAGATTTCCTGGTGGGAATGAAACCTTTGGATGCTACATTCCAGAAAGTACAAGAGGCTCAGTGTGGTGTACTAAGGGGACTTGTGGCAGCTGTCATTTATTGAGTTGGAAAAATTCCAACGTGTTAACAACCAGTACCTCCATACTGGTGAATGCCACTCTTGGGTACATGGACCACCAAGGACTGGTTTATTGATCTTCATGGCCTCAGGGGCTTAGAGTCTTCCATAGTCCAGTTCCGTCTTTCACACTTCACTTTCTGTTTCCACCAGCACTTACCAGTCCATCCAGATATACAGTGGCACTGTGGGCGGCCTGAAGACTGGATGTGGCAGCGGCCCCTTTGGTAACAGTAGGAGGGAAAACAAGGGTCCCTGATCTGGGTCTGGCACCTCTCCCCAGAGAAGCCAGGAGGGCAGGTGCAGAGGAAGTTAGGGGCCATGGGAGAGAGTGGACTAGTGGTGCTTGAGGGAGCAGGGAGCAGGACTTGACAGCTGCCTCCATTCTGGCAGATCTGAGCATCCTGGCAAGGATCAGGGAACTGGCACGTCTCACCCAGGAAGCCAGGGGCACACCTGGGCAAGGAAGAAAGGAAGACTCACATAACTGCCCCTCTTCCCTGACTCTCCCACCTTTCTTCTTTTTCCTTCATTTGTTTCCTTTTCTTTTCTTTGACTCATCCCTTTCTCCTTTCCTCTCCTCCTTCCTCTACTATCCCTTCCTTTCCCCCCTCCATTTCCCACTTCCCCAAGTCACACTCACTGGCAGGCCCCTTGCCCATGAGATGCAGTCAGGCAGGTGCCTCCATTGGCACAGACTTCTGGGAAACTCCTGCACAACAGCCCTAGGGATGGAAATGTAGGATGAGCTAGAAGGAGATCTATCTGAGACCTGCCTGCAGCAGCCCTGCCCACATACATGCTCCAAGCCATTTTCTCCTCTCATATCCAGTTCCCAGTCCCCACGTGGTCTCTACACCCCAGCCCCCTAGTTCCCAAGCCTCTCAGTTTTTACTCTCTGTCCCCCCACTCCTTTCCTGTTTATTCTCTAGCCTCCAATTCCAACTTCAGGCTCCATTCCTCGGAAGCAAGACAACAGGATTCAGGAGGGGGGCTGAGGGAGCTCCTGGGAGGTGAATGGCTGAGATATGGAAGGGATTTCCTCCCGGAAGGGCCCAACATTGAACCATCCGGGGGGTGGGGACAACTGGAAAGGCACTTGGTGGACCCTTGACCTTTCCCAGTCTCCAAATCCTGTTCCCTCTTACTTCTTCCCTTAGCAGGTGGCAAGTCTATTCCCTAGTCTTCACCTAATGTGGCTGCAAGAACCCTCCGCCTCACAGCTCCGGGCAGACCAAGTTTTTCTGAAGGTGCCCCTTTCTCCCATCCCCCAGCACCCCCAACAGTCACCACCCTTGGCACTGGGCCCAAAGCCTTGGTCTGCTCAGCTCCAGTGGCAGAATTAGCTCTCCCTCAGTCAGTCCCCAATGAGGCGGCAAGAATATCCCATCCGTGTCTCCTCAGGACCTGGAGCTTAATCCTTACCCCACCAGATATCCTCCTGAGAAAGATGAGTTTCCACCTCTCACACCCGCATGACTCACCTCTAGTCTTGATGATTGAGAAGCTCAGTAGTAGTAGCAGCAGCAGCAGTAGCGGTGAAGGGGGCTGCATTCCAGATCCCCTGCCCCCAGCTCTGGCCCCTTCTCCCTTTTCAGGCAGGGACCCTCAGAGCCTCCCTGAGGCAGGAGCCACCTCCTCTGCTCCCACTACCCCTTCTTCCTCCTCCTCAGCCTGCTGCAAGCCTCACGTCTGAGCTGTTTCCTGAGTCACACAATGTCCTGGACACCCTAGTGTTGTTCGTGTGGGGGGTGTAGAGGAACTGGGGGGATGAGGGAGGGGCCTCCCTGACAGTCCCTGGGGAGGTAGAGGAAGTAGGACTCTGTGGCTGGAGGGCAGGTGCTGGGGGTGGTGGCTGACCAGTGGGGTCTGTTACTAACATAAGATGGAACTATAGTGTGGCCACCCAAACCCAGAGGGCTGGACCTGGAAACAGAGGTGCCAGGCCACTTGGTCCATTTCCCAGGAGAGAACTTAAGTATTGTAAAGTCAGGACAAACACTTCTTAGAGAACTCTTAGCTTTCCAAAATTTGAAACCACTCAGTTTTGGGAGAGGGAACCCTGGAGACTTCTGGGTTCCATCTTGGCCCTCACTGGGATCTTGGATTTTTTTTTCTTTTTACCTCATGGATACTGGGCCGTATATGGACCCGGTTTAGGGGAAAATCTAAGCCTTCCTTGGGAGAAGGACATGCAAGACTGCCATTATCAATAATAAATGAACATAATCTATTCTGAATTTTATAATTTGGATTCTCTGTAGCAGCAAAGGCTGAGTTTTGGATGGGTTTATTTCTCCTAGAGTCCCTGGAGGGGCAAATTTGCCTGGCTGTTAATCAAAAGGGTAAATGTTTGAGTCTCGCCAGAGATGCCTCAAAAGAAAGGTATGGTATATGCTTCTGAAAAACATCAGTCACTGAGAGCCCTGTGCTGCACACAGTGCTGCTCTGACACATACATGCCAGCTGGGAGTTTGAACTAGAAATAATTTCTTTTCTGTTTCCACCTCTCTCCCTCCCTCTACTGCAGAGTTCCTTGGGATCCAGGAAATGCCAGTCTGTTGGAGTACAAAACAGAAATAAGTACAATCATAAAGAGGAATTCATTTCCCAGGAAAAAAAATTACTCATCCAACCTTCTTGAGTCAGCCCAGAAAACCTTTGAGGTCATCCACGTGCTGAGTTCCTCCAGCAGTGCAGAGGACCAGGAGTCCCAGGTGCGATCAGCTCCTCTGCACACCCAGCACCCACATCGCAACACCCCATAGCCACAGCCTGGTGCTCTGGGACATGGGGTCCTTCTCAACCAGAGAAATACACTTCTCCAGCATCTCTCTCTCTCTCTCTCCCTCTCTCTCTCTCTCTTTTTGTTAAATGTTTTATTTTTAAATATTTTTAAACCCACAGAAAAAGAACAAGAATACAAGAACATTAAAAAAAAGCTCTAGAATACTCTTCCTTTAGCTTCATTAGCTGATAACCTTTTACCATATTGACTTAAAAAGTTTATACTGGTTTACTTACAAAGATTGTATACAGGAGTTCTGGTGGCCTAGCGGCAAGAAACTGCAGTGTAATCCCAAAGGCATGTGGTTTGAATCCACCAGATGCTCCGCTGGAGAAGGCAGGGAAATCTCCTCTTGTGCCAGTTGCAACTGATTTGACAGTACATAACTAATAAATAATTTTTTTTTAAAAAAAAGATTGTATACATTGTCTTTCACACTGGAACTTTCTCCTTTCCATTACCCACCCCTCCCTCCACCCATCAAATTGTGCCATTGGATCCTTCTATAATAATGGTTTTATACAGTATTTGTCTTTATGAATGACTGAGTTAGTTCACTTAGCATAATGCTTTCCAGTCCCTCCTATGTTAGGTAGTAATTTACAAAATTATTGCTCCTGTGGGCTGCATAATATTCCATTGTGTGAATGTGTTATAATTTTTTCAATCTATGCCATGTGGTTGGGCATTTGGGCTGTTCCCATGTTCTTGCTATGTTGAATAATGCTGTTATAAACACTGTTGTATAAGTCTGTTTGTGCCTCAGTTCTCATTTTCTCAAGGTAAATTTCAAGCAGTGGAATAGCTGGGTCATGTGGAATTTCTATGTTCAGCTTTTTGAGGAATTGCCAAACTGCCTTCCAGAGTGGTTGTACTATTTTACAGTCCCACCAACAATGTATTAGAGTTCCTGTCTCTCCACATTCTCTTCAACATTTATTACTTGCTGCCCTGTTGGTTGAAATATGCCAATTGATATGCCATCAATTCCTGGGGTCTTGTTTTTTGCCAATTCTTTCAGAGTAGCTTGAACTTCTTCCTTCATCACCACAGGCTCTTGCTTATATGTTGTTCCATGAAATTTTTATGTGTCCACAAATTCCTTTTGGTACAATGACTCTGTGTACTCTTTCCATCTTCTTTTAATGCTTCCTGGGTTATTTAATATTCCGCCCAAAGCATCCTTAAGTATTGCAACTTCTGGTTTGAATTTGCTCTTCAGTTCCTTCAGTTTAAGAAATGCTGAGCGAGTTCTGCCCTTTAGATTTTTTTATTCCAGCTCCTTGCATATTTCATTGTAAGACTCTGTCTTCACGTGTTGCCCTCTGGAATCTTCTGTTCAATTCCTTGATATCTTGATTTCTTCCCTTTGCTTTGTCCACACACCAGTGCAATATTCAGTTTCTTCTGACATCCATCTTGGTCTTTTCTTCCTACTCTGTCTTTGTAATGACCTTTTGCATTCTTCCTGGATGATAATCTTGGCTCATCTGATCTTCGCTCATTAATGTCCAAAGCCTCAAACCTGTTTCTGGGATAGTTTTTAAATTCAGGTGAGATCAGTATCATTTATATCACATGCAAGCAAGATTCTGCTGAAGATTATCCAAAAATGATTGAAACAGCACATCAACAGAGAACTGCCTGAAGTGCCGGGTGGATTGAGAAGAGGCCATGGCACTAAGGATATTGTAGGTAATGTCAGATGGATCTTGGCTGAAAACAGAGAGTACCAGAGGAATGTCTATCTGTGTTTCATTGACTATGCAAAGATATTTGACTGTGTGGATCACAACAAACTGTGGCTGACTCTGAGAAGAATGGGAATCCCAGCACACTTGATGTGCTTATGTGAAACCTATATTTGGACTAGGAGGCAGTTGTCGGAACAGAGCAAGGAAGCACTGCATGGTTTAAAATTGGGCAGGGTGTGTGTCAAGGATGTATCCCATCTCCATATCTTTTCAACCTATATGTGGCACAGATTATCCTGAAGTCTGGGTTCTATGAGGAGAAGTGTGGCATCAGGATTGGAAGTAGTCTCATCAATAATCTACATTATGCAGATGACACAACCCTGCTTGCTGAAACTGAGGAGGACCTGAAGTACTTGCTGCAGAAGGTCAAGGACTGCAGCCTTCAATATGGATTGAAGTTCAACATCAAGAAAGCAAAGATTCTCACCACTGGGCTGATTGGCAGCATCATGACGATGATGAAGAGATTGAAATTGTTGACAGCTTCAGCTTGCTTGGCTCTAGAATCAACATTTTTGGTACCAGCAGGCAGGAAATGAAAAGATAAATTGCATTGGGAAAGTCTGCTGTCAGAGACTTTTCCAAAGTACTGGAGAGCAATGATGTCAATCTGGAGACTAAGGTGCACCTGATACAGGCAATGGTCTTTGCAATTACTTGCTATGCATCAGAAATCTGGACAATGACTAGGGATGATAGAAGGAGGGTTAATGCCTTTGATTTGTGATTCTGGAGAAGAGTACTGAATATACCATGGACTGCTAGGAGAGCAAACATGTCTTGGACAGGGTGAAGCTCCTTGGTGGCAAATATTCTGAAGCTTTGGTATATTTTGGACATGTTGTAAGGCAGAATCTGTCCTTGGAGAGGGACGTCAAACTTGGGAGGGTGGAGAGACAGCCCAGGAGAGGAAGACCCTTGATGATATGGATTGATTTAGTCACTGGGGTAACGGGGATAGGTGTGTCAGAGACAATAAGATTGGCAAGGGATAGAGCAGGGTTTAGGGTCACTGTGAGTCGCAGGCAACTCAACGGCACATAACAACATCAACATCCTCCCCACTCTGCTCTTACCCCTTCCTGCCTTGGGTCTCTATACATATTTTGCTAGTTATACTTCTATTTATATAATAATGGTCTTATGCAATTTTAGTCCTTATGAGACTGAGTTATTTCACTCAGCATAATGCTCTCCAGTCTCTCCCAAGTTAGGTAGTATTTTTCCTGAGTGCTGCATAGTATTCCATTGTGTGAATGTACTACAATTTCTCAATACATTCCGTTGTGGTTGGACATTGGTGCTGTTTCCATGTTCCTGAGATGATGACTAATATTGCTATGAACTTTGGTGTACAGATCTCCATTTATGTCTCAGTTCCAATTGCCTAGAGATATATATTCCTTGTCATAACTGGGTCATAGGGAGTTTCTATGTTGAACTTTTTGAGGAAATGCCAAGCTGCCTTCCAGAGTGTTTGTACCATTTTTTTTTTAAATTTCCATTCATTCATCGTTGCACTTATCTCCTTACCCACCCCTCCCTCCCAGTTTACCCTTCTCTTTGAAAAGTAAAAGAAAAAGTCTTTCATTGTAATACAATCCCTCCCCCCAAGTCCACTCCATTGTGCAGCCTTTGTTCTGGATTCCTGTCATAACAATTATACCTAATCACATATACCTTTTAAACAGTTTTCTCCCTCCTCTGTTTCAATACAGTATACATTATTTATCCCATCTTTTTTTACAATCTCACCTCTCTACATCTTCTCCAACATTTGTTGCTTATTGCCCTACTAAACTTTGCCACTGCTACTGGGGTAAGATGATATCTCATTCTGGGTTCCCCCCCCCCTTTTTAAAAAATTTATTTATTTTTCATTTCAATGAACATCTTACAGAGATTTTGGAATTCCATTCATTCATTGTGGTTTTGATTTGCATCTCTCTTATTGCCAGTGATTTTGAGCATTTCTTCATGTGTCTGTTGGCCATCAGAATATCTTCCTCAGTGAAAAGTCTTTCTGTGTCTTTTGCCCATTTTGTAATTGTGTTTTCCATCTTTTTCTTGTGAAGTCTCTGTAGGATTCTGTAAACTTTTGTATTGAGACCCTTGTCTGAAATAGAACTGCCAAATGTTTTTCCCCCAG